CCAAAAAAAAAAAAAAAGAAAGAAAGAAAAAAAAAAGCCTGTGACCTACCACGTGGAATCCCAGGTGCAGTAGTCCAGAGCATCCCTTGGACCATAAGGCAGAGGCATAGAGCCTCGTGTGCCCCTTGCTGCTCAGAAGCAGCTTTCACTTACATCATGTGGGAGTGCTATTTCAACCCTGTAAGGTGCTGCATGAGGCCCAGGCTGCCACACAAGCTGACATAGTGGGTCTGATGGAGCTGTGACCAGACCTTAGGGTGACTCACTCCACAGACACCCCCATCTGACGGCAAGCATTCTGGGTCCAGACACTAAACAGCCAGAACTGGGCCACTGTTACAGCAGCCTGATCCACCAACCTCCAGGGTTGGGTGTGCAAAGCAGCACCACCCACCAAGGAAGCAGGATGTATGTGGTCAGCTCAAGCAGGCCCCAGAGGCCCAGGTGAGTGACGTGAAGTAGATAATAAATTAACAGAACAGGAGCTCCTGTCACATTGCCGCGTCCTCTGGAACTACATATCAGTAGCTCTGTGGACAGCTTCCTGGGGCCAGTTACTAAGAAGGAAGAAGCTGAGGTCTGATTACAGATGGTTCTGCATAATACACCATGGTCACCCAGAAGTGGACGCCCACAGTCCAACATTCCCATCTGGGTTAGAGGCTGGGGGCAGGCAGAGCCTCATGATAGAGACAGTGGCAAGTCCTGAGTGGGCAGAGCAGCGCACAGTGTGTCTTCTGGTTCATTTTCCTTGCAAAGGAAGATCAGAGGCTGGTTCATGGGGGCACTGACCAAAGCTGGCCAGCCAGTCTTTGGAAGTAACATGGTTAGAAAATTGATCACCAGGTCTGGGGTCCCTAACAGCATATGTAGAGACCTCTCTGGATCTGCAGAGTACACAGAATTTGTTCCATTTAAATGCTGACCACAAAGCCACCCTGGCAGAGGAGAACCTTAACAAGGTGGACAGGATGGCCCATTCTTGGACATTGCCAGTTTATTTCCCCAGCACACTGCCATTTCCTTAGTGGGAGCTCAGGAGGCAAGTGCCACAGCAGCAGGGATGGAGGTGACCTCACAATATAGACTTCCACTCGCTGGTGCTAATCTGGCTACGGCCACTGTGGCTATGGCTCTGCTGTGTGCCCGACTGCAAGCAGCAGAGACCGCACCAGCTCCTTCCATCATGGGAGGGGCAGTGCTTTGCTCTTGTGAGGACAGGCACTTACTCTGGCTGTGGATGCACCTCCCCTTCCAGTCATACTTCTGCCTGAACTACCACCAGTGGACTCACAGAATGCCCTATCCACCGTGGTGGTGTTCCACACAGCACTGTCTGTCCAGGGACTCATCTCACCATGTGCCCATAGAACAGGGCAATGGCATCTGAAGACTCAATGTTGGCACCATATGGGTGGCAACACTGTGGAGCTGGATCCAGCCCATGCTCCAAATCAGTGTCCCACCTGTAGCATCACCACAGCCAGGGTTTATGGGTCCAGGGATCAAGCAGTAGAAACAGCAAATATTTTCTCAATTGTCATTACCCCTAATGGGCCCTGCAACTTTGGACTCTGATGGTCTGGAGGTCTTAGATTTCAAGGGATCAATTCATCCTGGTTTGTCCAGGGATTTTTCTGGGTTTAAAGCTGGAAGTCCTGCTGAGTGCCAGTGGCTCAGGCCTGTAATCCTAGCTAGTTGAGAGGCTGAGATCGGGAGGATCAAGGCTCAAGGCTAATCTAGGCAAACAGCTTGTAAGACCCCCATCTTCAGATTAACCAGAGAATGCTGGTGAAGTGGCTCAATCGATAGAGTGCCTGCCTAGCAAGTATGATGTCCACCACCAAAATAAAAAAGTCAAAATAACCACAGCAAATAGACTGGAGGCATGGCTCAAGAGATAGAGTGCCTGCTTTGCAAGTGCAAAGGCCTGAGTTCAAACCCCAGTCCCACACACATACAAAAAAAAAAACTGGAAGTCCCAAATACTGGGAATTCCTTTGGTCCTGGTCAAACCCTGGAGTGTTCCACCAGGGGTCACAACACATGGCAGTTGAGACCTGGCCACCTGGCTCTCACCAGGGCACTGAGAGAGAGGAGGGTCCCTTTCCAGGCTTTATTACAGGAAAAGAGGCCAAGTCCCACAGGAAACGACTAGAACCACCCACACAAGCAAAACCACCAACAGCAGAGAACCTTCAGGAACGAAGGCTTAGGTCCCCCACTAGGCAAAGAACCACAGGCAGCTGATGTGCTTGCAGAGGGCAAAGGGTGCTGCAGGCTTCGGGAACTAGGGTAGCTGAGTGCCAATTGACTGGAGTGTAATGAATGCTTCCTCCTCACTTTGCATGACCCAGTTCCTACTTTTGCCAACCAGTTCCTTTCCTTCCTTCTTCCCTCTCCCATCCCCCCACTGCCTAACAGTGTGTTGACAATAGCTAATGTTACAGCTCTGTGTTTGTGTCATTTGCCTCTCAAACACTCTCAAGGAGGGTGATCACAAGAATGAGTATTACCCAACGATGGGTAGGAAACTTCTGCTCAGTCTCTGGAGAGCCTGCTTCGTCTGGGACAGTTGTGCATTAGGCAGAAGTATGGTTTTGCTTTTGCTGTTATTTGGAAATTAAATACAGTATGAAAAAGAAGTGTGTGTGCATGCTTTCTCATCAGGGGGGCCACTGTGAGCTGTTCTACTGTCACCTTGGTTAGGTTGGGACCTTTCTGTCTGCGGTTGGGGTTAGATGTGGTGAACATTATTCTCTGAAAGTCACGACCAGATGTGGTGGCAGGTGGAACAGCTGTGCCTGCTCAATCCCAACTTGTCTTCCTACCCTTCATTCCACCTGCTGGTTTTGAGACAGACAAAGGAAATTGCCTGCTGGGAATCCAGGAAAGGCAACAGGGTCGGTGTCTCTCTCTCTCTCTCTCTCTCTCTCTCACTAGGAACTGAACTCAAGGCCTTGCATTTGCTAGGTAGGTGCTCTAGCACTTGAGCCACACTCCCAACCCTTTTTTGCTTTAGTTATTTTTCAGATAGGGTCTCACTTTTTACCCAGGTTGACCTTGAACCTCAGATTTCCTGATCTCTGCCTCCAGAGACAGCAGAGATCTGGGGGGGGGGTGGCCTCATGGCTCAGCAAACATAGTGAAGCACCACGGAGCCACCCCATGCCTATTCTGCCACATGCTGTTCAGGCCATACAGGTTTAGGGCAACACACACACACACACACACACACACACACACACACACACACCCCACAGTGCTGGGAAGGTTGTCTGAAAGGTTGTTTTCTTGTTTTAACACTGCTCCAATCACCTGTCCATTCCACTCCAGACATAAAGTCAAGTTGACCACAATTCTGCTGTTTCTGTCCTTCTCTCCTCTGTCCTGCAAACATGGTATCTTTTCAAGCTCTCCCCCACACTGCTGTTCTCATCCTCTACCCCTCAGTCTACTTTCCATATTTATGTTCTGCAATTCATAAAGTGTGTATCAAATTGCTCATGTGTCTTAAATGTTATTTTAACCACGATGTTCCGTATATTACATTCTGTTTCATTTTGCACCTTGCTGTGGATGCCTTCCTGACATTTCCTTCATTCAACCAGCAAATACTGCAGAGTATTCTTACGAGCCGGAGATTCAGGGTCACAGTAGTGAACAGACAGGTAAGAGCTCTCCTTTCATAGAATCTATGTTCTACTAGGCAGAGACAGACAAGTGAACAAATAATGACTTTGGATTGAATACCATGAAGAAAACAAAATGGGGTGATGGCGTGGAGTGGAGGGGAGGCTTATTGTTTGGGGTGGTGATGTCTGATCTGATAGTAAACAGAATCTCTTTAGAGAGCAAATGTGGGGCCAGGCATGGTGGCTCACATCTGTAATCCCAGCTAGCATTAGCAGAGTAGTATTAGTAGGTGCTGTGGCTAAGCACATAAGCAGAGCTAGCCATCCCCACTAGATGTGGAAGTGTCCAGATGACCCCATGTCCAGTCATCCACATCATCCCACTCAAGCAAGAATGGGAATGAAGTCAGCAACCTCCAGGTGAACTGGACAGAACGACTGTCCATCCACACCCTCTGACAACCACACAGCTCAGCCAGAGCCACATCACTGCCTACGTGCAAGGCTTCTTTGCACCCGCAATCCACCCTGAGTGGAGGCCATCATCCCCTTGGCCATTCATTACCGGTGCCCTGAACAGCCTCTAATCTCCTCCCTCTACTGTCCCAACCACGTGGCTACCAGGTTAGGACCCTTGTCCTCCAGGCTAAGACCCCTCTGTGATGCTCAAGGTGAAGCTCCTTTGGGGGCCTTCCTCAGCCTGGTCCGTCCGCACGAGTACCCCAAGCCCCCTTCACCCCTCATCCTCCGACCCTGCATTTGTTCCCCACCACCAACCACCCGCTCCACACTACTCTTTGCCCCATTCTTTCTGGTCTCACCGTATGCAGCTCTCCCCAGAGTCCCACATCCCCTCCTCGGTCCTTGTCGCCCCAGTGCCCTGGTGACCCGGGTATCCCCCGAGTTTCCCGGGGCCCCGCGCCCCCAGCGCAGCCCAGGTGGATGCGCGCGCCGTGGAGACGGCCGGCACACCCTAACGCGCCGCCCCGCCTCCGCGCGCCGCGGATTGGCTCCCCGCGGGATGGCCGGGGCCGATTGGCTCGGGCCGCGCGGCCGCCGGTCCCGTTTCACGGTGGGTAGCACTGCAGCGTGGATGCTGCTCGGTCCCGCCGCGGCCCCCGAGGAGCGAGGAGCGGGAGCGGCCGGCTGGGCGGGCGGGGGCGCCTCAAGGAGCCGCTCCCGCCGCCCACCCGGGCCGCGGCCGGGGCAGCCTGGGAGCCGCGGCCGCGCCTGGTGGCTGCGGGCGGCGGACAAAGGGCCATGCGGGGCCGCGGGCGCTGAGCGCGGCCGGGCGGGCTGGGGGATGCGGGGCGGGGCGGGCAGGGCTCCGGGGCCGCAGCGACGCCCCTGAGCTTGGCGGCCGCGATGCCGTGGTTCCCGGTGAAGAAGATCCGCAAGCAGATGAAGCTGCTTCTCCTGCTGCTGCTGCTCACCTGCGCCGCGTGGCTCACGTACGTGCACCTGAGCCTGGTGCGCCCGGGCCGCGCGCTGCGCCAGCGGCTGGGCTACGGGCGAGGTACGCCAGGGGCGCACGGTGGGCTGGGGGTGCGAGGGCCCGACCGCCTGGAGACCCCGCCCGCCTACTCCTGTTAGCTTTGCGATATTGGGGGAGGGGACTCAGCTCGGCGGGACGCCAGATGACGTCAGCCATGACGTGCGCGACCCTCTTGAGGCGTGTCCCGACCTGAGGGGACCCCGGGAGCTGGCTGGAGGATCCAGTAGTGATGGGGTTAACGGTGGGCTCTTGGTGAAATCTCTTCCCCAGCCTAGAGGAGAGGCCTGTCTGGCCTGGTCTCCGCGACTTAGCCGGGCCTCAGTTTCCCCATCTGCTGTGCGGGGTGGGGGGAGTGGGGCCTGCCCTGGGATCCAGCCTTCCCACCCTGGGGTGAGCCAGGAGAGTGACCTGTGCATTTGGAACGCCTTGAGTACACCTGCCATCCCAATGCCTGTGCATTGGGTTGACCAGTGCAGCCTGCAATAACCAGGTCCCAGGGCTCACACTCCTGAGGGGACAGAGGATGAAACCACAGACAAAGCAACTCAGGTCCTGGTGAGCCCTGTAGGCAAGAGCCAGGGAAGGGCCTCTGTGTGACCTGTGACACACTGTGGGGGAGAGCTGAGAGAGGAAAGGGTACTGACCATACCCTGGGGGAGCCAGTGGGAAGAGGTGGTGAGGCAGGACCAGGACCTGGGGGAGCATAGGAGAGGCAGGAGCAGGAGCCCCACCCATGCAGGACAGATCCCAGCCAGGCCTTTGTGAAGGAAGTTAGTGTCCTGAGGACTTGGGGCAAGGAACTGTCTGTCTCTCCTCCTAGAGACTCAGAACAGTGACATTGACTCATGACATCCTAGGCCTCTTCACCTGAGGGGTCCCAAGCTCCCTGTTCAGTCCCACTCCTTCCTGCCACCTGTAGAAGCCCCACTGCCTCTTCCTCATATGCCTAGAGACTGGTTCCACAAATCCTTCTCCACACCCAGAGCCAGAGATCTGGGACTGCTCCCCACCCCCAAAATGGCATGTGGGTTGTCCCAACCCATGCACCTCATAGCTGCCACACTTTCAAGAGACCCTCAGCACTGCGCCATCCCTAAAAGAAGCCCTTCCCCCACCTCAGTTATCAGCACCTAGGGATGGACCCGGAGCTCTCCCAGGACACAATAAACCCCACCCCCATCAGCTGAGTCTGTGGGTTTCTCAGCAGCCACAGGCCTCCCCCAGTCTGACTTCCTGAGCAGCTGAGAAGTTTGAGTCTAACCAGAGGAGGTGGAGACATAGAAGTCCCATTCTGCTCTCACTGGACCTTGCTGCTATCACTGGACCAGAAGAGCTGCTGGGATGCTGGTCACTTGGGCTCTGACTCCTCCTGGGTGGGTGAGAGCTGTTCTGGGTCCTGGAAGCTCAAAGCTGCTGAATGGCACTGCCACCGAGTAGCCTGGGCTGCACAGGCAGGGCACCAACTCCACACACTCTGCTCCAGGCTGAAGCTGCATGTCCTGTCCAGGCCCCTGGACTCCCACCAGGCACTGAGGCTTTGCTGACTATCTGGTCAGTAGAGGCAGCATTCAGGTGGTGTCCAGCAGCCTGTGCATGCAGAGGTTCCCAGGGGAGGATGGAGCAGAGGTTTGTCTAGACACTCACTGTTCCAGGACTCAGTCCCTACAGGACAGTGGTGGCAGCCTGGGCTGAGATCCCACTACAGAAGGCTCCCAATGCCTCCCACCCTCCACCCCGCTGGACTTGAGTTGGTGGGCTGTAGGCATCTGGGCCAGGCTGTGGGAATTTAGTCAGGAACTGCTCACCTCCCAACTGGTGAGGACTGACTGGGGAAAGGACCTGGAATGAGGAATAGGCAAGAGACACTGCAAAGGTCTCACTGGGCAGGTAGCCATGCACAGCCCCTCAGCCAGAAAAGGGGCCAGACCAATCTGGCCTCAGGATTCTAGCTCCTGAGGTCTGGACTGAGGGACAGACATGGATGCCAGGCTAGGCTCTGAAGCAGAGGGGGCAACCTGGACTGGACATCCCTCAGTTGGAATACCAACTGAGAAATGGGGTAAAGTGAAGCCTCCCATCTTCAGAGGGTCAGGTTCCAGGATGTGGACCCAGGGACACAGTGGGATGTTCGGGTCCATAGCTCATGCAGAAGGTCCAGAAGGTGGGGTGAAATTGGGTGCAGAGATGGTCTTTCCCAGGCGTAGGGAGAAGGGAAGCTGTGGACATAACCACAGGCAAATCTGGGAAGGATGCCCCTCAGGGGATAGTCTCCTTCCAAGGCCACCCAGGCATCAGGTCCTCTGGCAGACCAGGCAATGTATTCCTCTCGGCCCAGGCTGGTCCCACAGCTCCCATAGTCAAGACAGCAGGTGGCATAGGTGCAGTGGGCCAGATCTGGCTTAGCCCCAGGACAACTGTGCTGGCTTTCCTGACTACCAGCCCCTGCAGTCACCCTCATGTCTCAGTTCTGCTAAGGAAGGCTGACTTCCCCCAGCACATGGGAAAGACACTGACAGCACCAGACAGTTCTTCCTGAAGCAGAGCCAGTGAGGTTGGCCAGATGGGTGCACGTGTGCCTGCAGATACCAGCCTTTGCACATACCCTGCTCCCTCCCACAGTGGGACATTAGGGAGAGCTGGTGGAGGGCTCCTGCCCACCCAGTGGAATAAAGAAAGGCCAGTGTGAGGCAATAGACAAGATTGGAGAGGCTCCAGCAGCAAGCCTTCCCACCCTGCTCTCGCATGTAAGATGGCCTCCCAACTGACCCCACCAGCAGGGCTCTAGCCTTGGAGAGAACCTGAGTTCCAGATACAGCTTACGTATCACCCACAGATGGGGAGAGACTGACTGGTGTGACAGATGGCCGGGGCGTCAGGGTGCTGCCGTCCACGCAGAGGGCAGAGGACTCCAGTGAGAGTCGTGAGGAGGAGCAGGCGGTAAGCAACAACTATGGGGAGAGCTCGTATGTACACGAGGCCACTCTTGTGGGTGGGTGGACACAGCCACGACTCCTCGGTGTGTACATCCTGGCCTAGAGTTCCACCTATGGGTGGCATGTGTCTGCTGGTATGTCATGTGGGTGGCACATGTCTGCCTGGGCAGGTGTGATTAGGGTATCTTGAGTGCTGGGACATGTGCCTGGACCACACCGGAGTTGGGCCATGTACAGCTGTGCTTAGGGTGCTGTGGCTAGAGGTGTGAAAGGGGGACTGTGAGATTGTCTCACTGTGTTTAAATGGGCATGTTGTGTGTGGCTGTGACCCTGCCTGCCCTTTCTCTCCTGCAGTCCGAGGGTCGGGACCCAAACAAGCTGTTTCCTGGAAGGGCTGGGAGGCCACCCCCACTGAACCTTACCCGTCAGACGCCCCCATGGCGGGAGGAGGTGAGCTCTGCTTGACCCGAGGTGGGCTAGGAGGCAGGGTGGGGGCGCAGGCTGTGTGGTAGCTGAAGCCCCGTCTGGCCCCCAGTTCAAGGGGCAGGTGAACCTGCACGTGTTTGAGGACTGGTGTGGGGGCGCCGTGGGCCACCTGAGACGGAACCTTCACTTCCCACTGTTCCCTCACGTGAGTGCCTCAGGAGAGGGTGAGTGGGCAGGGTGAGCAGGGTACACAGTGGGCTTTGATGTCAGTGGTCACTGCCGTCCCCAGACTCGTACCACCGTGAAGAAGTTGGCCGTGTCCCCCAAGTGGAAGAACTACGGACTCCGGATTTTTGGCTTCCTGCACCCAGCGAGAGATGGTGCGGGGGTGGGATATGCGTGTGTGTGCGTGCGTGTGTGCGTGCGTGTATGTAAAGGACTCAGCTCCCTGAACCCCTGTCCTGTGGACTAGGAGACGTCCAGTTCTCTGTGGCTTCAGATGACAACTCTGAGTTCTGGCTGAGCCTGGATGAGAGTCCAGCAGCTGCCCAGCTTGTAGCCTTTGTGGGCAAGGTATGCCCTGACCCTGACCCTAGGCTCTGTCCTCCAACCCCAGTCCCTCCACCTGTACCCTGTCTGTCTTCTTGGAAATGGGGATCTCATGGATCAGGTGTCCTCAAGGAGAAAGTGAATTTTTCTTGCCCCCGTTGTATCCCCTCTAGACTGGCTCTGAGTGGACAGCACCTGGAGAATTCACCAAGTTCAGCTCCCAGGTGTCTAAGCCCCGGAGGTGAGTGACCAGGGCCACATGTACTCAAGTGTGTGTGTATGTGAGAGGGAGGTTGGCTAAATCTCTTCACCCTTGCACACACGAAACAAGCATTGTCCTGGTCAAACCACTGTCTTCTTAAGGGACTAGCCCAGAGAGGTGTGGAAGCTGCCCACCCTTCTCTGGGCTTTCCATCTTTTCCTGGGCATGGTGAGGGGACAAGCCCTGACTCTGTGTCCACAGGCTCATGGCCTCCCGGAGATACTACTTCGAACTGCTTCACAAGCAGGACGACCAGGGCTCAGACCATGTGGAAGTGGGTGTGAGTGTGGCCCACCCTCCTGATTAGCTCTTCTCCTTTCCTCTCCCTCTCCAATACCCTCCCTCCCACCTCCTTGCAGGATTACTGCACTGTAGTCCCCATACCCAAGGGGCCTCCTGTCTAACTAACTGAAGCAGCTGCTCAGGGGCATGGGCCAAGGTCAGGGGGGGGTCTCCTGTGCCTTCTAGGGGCACAAAGGATCTCCACCAAAAAGTGACCCTTTACCAGGGAAATGTGCAGGGGAAAGAGTTTGGGGTAAGAAATGCAGTGTGTGAATTTCAGACCTAGAGAACAGACCCCATGACCTCCAGCATCTTCTGAGATCCCCAAGGGGTCTGGTACCCAGATCAGGCTAGGCTTGCAGTGTCATACTGGACAACTCAGAATGAGGTAGTGAGATCTGCATTCCAGGAAAACCCCTCTGGCCACTGTAGAGAGATGGGAGCAGGAAGGGAAAAAAAAACCCTGAGAAGGGAAGACCCAGTAGGTTAAAGGTGGGAAGGGTGTTTCCCCAGCAAGACAAAGAAGACCTGTAGCCTGACTGGGGGTTTGAGGGACAGTGACTAGGGTAGGACAGGGCGTTCTCAGCTCCAGCACTACAGGATGTCACATGCATCTGGATATTGTGGTAAGTGCCACCTCCAATTCAGCAGGCTAGATACACAGGTTTGGGGTGATCCTAAGGAAACCAAGAGAGTCCACTGAGAGCCCAGGAAGTCAACCCCCAGGAGCCCCAACTTGGGAAGAGCAGGAAAAGGTCCAGTCTACCAAGGAAGCCACAGAAGCACAGCATAGGGAAGTCCAGCAGTGATCTCAGGAGGGCAGTAGTGCAAAACAAGGGAGCAGGCTAGGCACCAGTGGCTCATGCCTGTAATCCTAGCTACTCAAGAGACAGAGATCAGGAGGATCACAGTTCAAAGCCAGCCTGAGCAAATAGTTTGCAAGACCCTATCTGAAAATACCCATCACAAAAAAGGGCTGGTGGAATGGCTCAAGGTGAAGGCCCTGAGTTCAAGCCATAGTGCAGCAAAAAAAAAAAAAAAAAATGGAGCAAGTAGAGTTGGAAGCCATGCCGAGCAAGCCAGGAAGCTCTTTGAAAGTGAGGGAGGTAAAGAGGGAGGGAACACCTGGATCTGCCCCTATAACCCCTTAGCTGCCCCTTCCCAAGGACCCCTTTCCTGTTCACCCTCAAAGTTTCCTGCATCTTTTGAGCAATTGCTCCCACTATCCCCCACCCTGAACACAGCCTCTTTCCTGTCCCCACCCCCCAGTGGCGAGCTTTCCTGCCTGGTCTGAAGTTCGAGGTCATCGGTTCTGCTCATATCTCCCTATACACAGGTGCAGAACTGGGGTACCTCTTTAAGGGGAGAGTCTCCTGATGGGCCGGCTCTGGGTATGGGTAGGAAGGGATGTAGAGGAGCCCCACATATCCTTCTGCCTCCAGATGAGTCAGCCCTGAAGATGGACCATGTGGCCCATGTCCCCCAGTCTCCAGCCAGCCATGTGGGGGGACACCTGCCACAGGAAGAGGCCAGTGCAGACATGCTGCGGCCAGACCCCAGAGACACCTTCTTCCTCAGTGAGAGGGGACCCTTGAGGGAGGCCAGGATGGGGAGGGGAAAGTAAGGGCCAGATCAGGCCACAAAGTTACCACCCCTCCTGCAGTTCCTCGGATGGAGCCTTCCAGCCTGGAGAATGTACTAGAGCCCTGCACCTATGCCCCCACCTACGTCCTTAAGGATTTCCCCATTGCCAGATATCAGGGACTACAGTTTGTAAGTGCCCAGGAGGCTTCCGGGGGCTGAAGCTCTGCTGCAGCCTCCCCCACCACCTTCAGCCTCTACCTCCCCTCCAACCCTAAGCCACGGTCCCGTTTCCAGGTGTACCTGTCCTTTGTTTATCCCAACGACTACACTCGCCTCACTCACATGGAGACCGAAAATAAGTGCTTCTACCGTGAGTCTCCGCTGTACCTGGAAAGGTGCGTTGGACTGGGAGGAGCCCCTCAGAAGCGAGGGAGCAGGGCCTTGCTGGGTCGGGTCTCTGATGCCCTTTCCGCCTCAGGTTTGGGTTCTATAAATACATGAAGATGGACAAGGAAGAGGGGGAGGACGACGAAGAGGAAGAGGTCCAGCGACGTGCCTTCCTCTTCCTCAACCCAGATGGTGAGTGCCCCTAGGGCCCCCGGTGTCCCCAACCCACCCACCTGGCACTGCTGACTTACCCTGCACTTCCCGCAGACTTCCTGGACGATGAGGATGAGCAGGAGCTGCTGGACAATCTGGAGCCCACCGAAGCATCCCTGCCACTGAGCGGCCGCAGGACCCTCACCCCAGCGTCCCCAACCGAGATCACCCAGACACTGACTGCAACCACTCCCGCTCCACCTACACCAAGCCCCCTGGCTGAGCAGACCCCCAGGCATTCCCGAGCCCTAAGTTGGGCTGCCCGGCCCCTGCCCCTCTTCTTGGGCCGAGCCCCACCTCCCCGCACTGCGTCCTCCAAGGTGTACGTGACGAGGGTGCGCCCAGGACAGCGAGCTTCCCCACGGGCACTGCACGACTCTCCCTGGCCACCCTTTCCCGGGGTCTTCCTGCGCCCCAGGTCCCTGCCCAGAGTGAAGCTGCGGGCACCCCCACGTCTGCCACGGCCCCACAACCCCAGGACCGGTGGCTCCCAGGCCACAGAGCTGAGGCCCCCAGCCCGGGCACAGGCCACCCGGGGAGGCTGGGAGGGCCAGGCACGTGCGCATGAATTCGTGGTGCCAACAGCGGACTCCAATTCATCAGTCGAAGCACAACCCGTGACCTCCTTCCTGAGCTTGTCCCAGGTGTCCAGGCCACAGTTGCCAGGGGAGGGCGAGGAGGAGGAGGAAGGGGACGATGATGGGGCCCCGGGCGAAGAGGCTGCATCAGAAGACAGTGAAGAAGAGGAGGCCGCGGGTCGGCCTCCGGGCCACTGGCGCGAGGATACCATCGACTGGCAACGCACATTCAGCGTGGGCGCTGTGGACTTTGAGCTGCTGCGCTCCGACTGGAACGACCTGCGCTGCAACGTGTCAGGGAACCTGCAGCTGCCGGAAGCCGAGGCAGTGGATGTGGTGGCTCAGTACATGGAGAGGCTCAATGCACGCCACGGAGGGTATGGGGGCGGGGGCACCCGGAGAGAGGAGTCACTGTTCTCCATGGGATTCTCAGACCTTCCCTGGGGATCACCTTTGATGCGCTGGCGCTGGTACACTTGGTCCCTAGGGAGCCCCAGACTGTTCCCCTCCCCTCTCCTATGCTCTTTACTGTTCAAAGCCCTTGTCCAGATTAAGGACCTCCCTAGTGTGCCACCCCAGGCTGACTCCTATATCCCTGCACCTCCAAATCCCAAATCTGTCTAGACCCAAGTGTTGATCCAAGCTACAGGGGCTGATGGTCAGTTAGCCAGATCACTAAGCAGACAGCCCATTTACAGGGGTCAGAGATACCCAGGAGTTGGCTCAGTACCCCTAGACCCCTTCTTTCCCTGCACAGGGCTGCAAGGTCTTCACTAGGGGTCTGGGCTTGATTCTGGGCCTACTGGCTCCTCTGGTCTTGTAGGCCCCAGAAATCCATATTGTCTCCCACCCTGTGTTGGAGAACTGGAGCCTACTTTGTCCTCTGGGGAGTTCTCAGAAGTGTGCCATGTTGTATCAGGCTTTAGGGAAAGGTAGAGCCTGCATGGGACATTGATGAGGGCAAAAGCCAATTTGGGACAGCAAGCCAGGGTGGAGGGCAGTCAGAAGATGGACAAGACCAGTGCTGGATGGAAGGTTTTGAACAGGGCATGGGTTGAGTTCCTCTGGGTTGTACAGCTGCCTTGGCCAGAAAAGCATGACAGCCCTGTTTTAGGGCAGTGGGGGTGGGGAGAGGTGCTTTGTTCCAGGTGGCTCAGAGGGCAAGCCTGCCTTGGTTCTGAGCTTCCTGGGGGCATGAAAGGGCCTGTCCGACTAGAGTGGTCATTGTTATTACTCCATTTTTGCATACCTGGGATTCAGCATGTGGGTGGCCCCAAGGAGTATCAAGAGTATTTGGGGCACCAGCTTGGGGTCACCAACTTGGGAAGGGCAGATGATAGTAGGCAAGAGTCAAATGGGGGAGTCAGGATATATCAGAGGTCACATTGGTGGGTTCCCAGGGCAGGGGCCACTGGCCAAGGAGGACTGGCAGGAGGCAGAATGAAGGCTTGAGAACCCTGCCTGACGGGGACTGAGGAACCAGAAGAAAGGGGAAGTACCCGAAGAGGGGCCCACAGGAGGTCTAGCAGCTTGCTCCTGGGGGTACTGTGGGAGGCCGGAGAGGATTGAGGCAAGCTTCCTAGACAGAAGACCACCGCCTCCCCACCCGAGATAAAAGCAGGCAATGGGAAACATCCAGGAAAAGAGTACAATTCTGTGCTCAGAAAAACCTCCCAGTGTGGGCTGCCCAACTCCCCGCTGTCCTGGAGAGGGGAGGCGCTGGAAGGTCAACCCGTCTTCTGGGAACTCCTCTGGGCTGGCGGGAGGTGTGATGCAGCCGCCCCCACCCACAGGCAGCCGAGCCTCTACGGCCTCATTCTCCAAATGGGTGACGCAGGGAGAAGTGGGTGGGGTTGAGGTGCAGGCTTGGGCGCGGCTGACAAGCCTGCCTCGCAGGCGCTTCGCGCTTCTGCGCATAGTGAACGTGGAGAAGCGCCGGGACTCAGCGCGCGGAAGCCGCTTTCTCCTGGAGTTGGAGCTGCAAGAGCGCGGGGGCGGCCGCCTGCGCCTGTCCGAGTACGTCTTCCTGCGACTGCCGGGAGCCCACGTCGGGGACACGGATGGGGAGAGTCCTGAGCCTCCTCCCGCCGCCTCTGTGCGCCCAGATGGCCGCCCGGAGCTCTGCCGCCCGCTGCGCCTGGCCTGGCGCCAGGACGTCATGGTGCACTTCATCGTGCCAGGTGTGCGGGCAGGGCAGGCCAACACGAGCAGAATCCGGGAGGCCACCAGGAAGAAGGGGAGCCTTCGCGTGTGCGGAGCACAGGGTGTGGGGTGGGGTCAAGGTTCTCCTGAGGGGGAAGCCACACAGTTGAGTGCAGTCGGCTCAGTGGCACCCTCTCCTCCAGTGAAGAACCAGGCGCGTTGGGTGGCTCAGTTTCTGGCCGACATGGCTGCGCTGCACGCGCACACCGGGGACTCACACTTCAGCATCATCCTGGTGGACTTTGAGAGCGAGGACATGGACGTGGAGCAGGCCCTACGTGTAGCTCGACTGCCCCGGTAATGACATCCCCCACGACCATCTGGAAGGACCTAGCTCATCTTCCCTCCCCTGGGAGGTGGGTTCTCCTGACCCCACCCACTGCAGGATGGCTGCCTGTGACCTCTTCACTCCCCCAGGTACCAGTACCTGAGGCGAACTGGAAACTTCGAACGTTCTGCCGGGCTGCAAGCGGGAGTGGACGCAGTGGAGGTCTGTGGGCCAGACAGGGACCAGGGGAGAGGATGGGGGCGCCAAGGGAGGAGCCGCCTTCTGGAGGAGAGGGCAGGGCTCAACCTCCTGTCCTACAGGACCCCAGCAGCATCGTCTTCCTCTGTGACCTGCACATTCACTTCCCGCCCAACATCCTGGATGGGATCCGCAAGCACTGTGTGGAGGGCAAGCTGGCCTTCGCACCCGTGGTCATGCGTCTGGGCTGCGGGAGCTCCCCGGGCAACCCACATGGTAAAGCCTTGAATGTCCCCTGGGAATGCGCGGGACCCCACCAGTGCCCCCCTGTAGTACCCAGAACTCCAAAAACCTCAAAGTCATGCCAGACCCATAAGAATCTCCCAGTTAGGACCCAACACTAGAGGGTGACTCCTGAGAGCCCCAGAGTAACAGGACCCTGCACCAGACCCCTCCTGAAGTCTCCCAGATGCTCCAGGAGAGGAAACTCAAGGACCTGCTGTATGAAGGCCTTCCCCTCTCCTTCATTTCCCCAGGTTATTGGGAGGTGAATGGTTTTGGTCTCTTCGGAATCTACAAATCAGACTTTGACCGCGTGGGAGGCATGAACACCGAGGAGTTCCGAGACCAGTGGGGGGGCGAGGACTGGGAGCTTCTGGACAGGTGACCGCCTCCCATCATCCTCCAGTGGGAGGGTGGAATTACAGGACCCCACACACTAAGCAGGCTCTGCCTTCCTCCCCCATCCACCCAGGATCTCATAAGCCTAGAGAGACCCTTTCACCCATCCATTCCCCAGAACTGCTTCCCAACCCTGCGGGCCTGCAGACTCGAAGCGGTCCTGATCCCCTGCCCTTGGATAGGGTGCTAGCGTTCCTCCACCCACCCCAGGGTCCTGCAGGCAGGGCTGGAGGTGGAACGGCTTCGACTGAGGAACTTCTTCCACCACTACCACTCCAAGCGGGGCATGTGGAGCGCACACGGCCGGAAGGGCTCACGCGCAGAGCGATCCTGAAGACCAGAAGCCCTTCCCAACCCACCGAATTTTGTGGTAGCGGGCGGAGCTCTGAGCTTATTCCAGGGCTCCACCACAACCGTGCCAGCCCCTGCCATAGCCCTCTACAGACAGGCAGCCTTCACTGCCAGGCTGGCACCTTGGTCCCCACACTCCGAGATGATTTCTGTGAAATTTTCTGTAGCGATGACCTTGTTTTCAGGATTTCCAAGAGTTCTGTCTGTTCTGTTTTTTATTCAGAATGAAATGAAATATTTTTTTTAGTTCTGACTTGTCCGGTGTCCCTGTTCTCTCCAGAGGCAGAGCAGAGACCTGGCCCCAGGGTGCCCCGGGGCACTGTGCACCAACCTTGATATCCTCTCTTACCCTGCTCATTTCCTGCCTTTAACTTCTGTGATTTCTTCCTCACCACCTCGTGTCCATGGAGTCTGGCCTCCAAGAACAGACACAGGAGAGGCCTTTCCACACAGGGTCTGCTGCCCAGCCAGTAGATGTTGACCTTGTAAGCTCTGCCTTCACAAGAGAGAAGGACCCACAGGGTGAGGACACCAGCCCACCACAGACCCACTTGAAGCGCACACTGCTCTCCCTTCATATCTAGTTCAGACACATTGTCCCCACTCACAGATGTATCATACAAGAAAAGCACTGGGGCTGGCAGAGTGACTTATTTGGTAGAGCACCTGCCTAGCAAGCATGAGGCCCTGACTTCAAAAAAAAAAGAATAAAAAGAATCACTGGCTTTAAGAATACACTGCCGGGCACTGGTAGCTTATGCCTGTAATCCTAGCTACTCAGGAGGCAAAGATCAGGAGGACCAAGGTTCGAAGCCAGCCAGGGAAAATAGTTCGAGAGACCCTATCTCAAAAAAAAAAAAATCACAAAAAAGGGCTGGTGGAGTGGCTCATGAGTTCAAACTCCAGTACCACAAAAAAAAAAAAAAAAAAAAAGGGAGGAGGGAGGGAAAGAGGGAAGAAAGGAGAAAGGAAAAAAGTGTAAGCTCCAGGCAGGGGAGGCATACACATCTGAAGAATCACCTTGAAAGCAGATAATTTGTGTGTGTGGGTGAGTTTCTGGGGTTTGAACTCAGGGCCTACACTTGAGCCACTCCACACCAGTCCTTTTTTGTGATGGGTTTTTTCAAGATAGGGTCTTGCAAACTATTTGCCCAGGCTGGCTTTAAGCCAAAAATCCTCCTGAGTAGCTAGGATTGCAGGCATGAGCCACCAGCGCCCAGTTCAGAAGAGAATTTCATGCAAAATTCCATGTAATATGGACTGTACTCACATCACAACTTATTAACCCATGTTAGTGAGAACTTAGTGAACACCCACCATGTGTCAGGCTCTGTCCCTGGAGAATTTACATCCTAGTGCAGGGTAAGAAGTATACCCAATAGGCATAAAAAAAATGTCTGGTGTCGGCTGGTGGTGAGTGCGATGTTGAAAACTAAAGCCAAAAGAAAGAGTAGTGAATTCAAGTGAGGTTATAGTTGTAAACAGAATGGTCGGGAAAAGTAAGCCAAGGCAGCACTGGGGGCTGGAGATGAGATGAGGCAGAGTGGACATGTAAAAAAATAAGTCACTATAGCACTTGGGAAGGAAATGGGAGAGAAAAAAAATCTTCACAGAAATAAAAGCCACTTTAGCAATTCCAAAAAATAAGAATAGGGTCCAGTGCCTATGGCCCACGCCCTGTAATACTAGTTACTTGGGAAGCTAAGATTGGGAGGATCATGGTTTGAGGCCAACCCAGATTATTTTGGAGACCCCCATCTCCAAAATAATTAGAGCAGTAACTAATAGACACCTGTGGTCCACACCTGTAATCCTAGCTACTCGGGAGACAGAAATCAGGAGGCTCAAGGTTCAAGGCCAGCCTGGGCAAATAGTTCTTGAGACCCAGTCTCAAAAATACCCACTACAAAAGGCTGGTGGAGCAGCTCAAGTGAGGGAGCACCTGCCTAGCAAGCGTGAGGCTCTAGTTGAAACACCAGTACTACCAAAAATAGCTAATAATAATAATAGCAATGATAACCAGAGCAAAATGGACTGGAGATGTGGGTCAAGTTGTAGAGAATCTGCTTTACAAGCATGAAACCCTGAGTTCAAACCCCAGTCCCACCAAAAAGAAAAAGAATAGCTGTTGGAAACCCAGTCAGGAGTACAGGAGGCAAACTTGAGAAAAAGCACACAATGAAATGGAAAAGAGCAAAGGTAAAAATACCCATGAGAAGATAACATGACCAATAGAGAAGTCAAGAGAAGAAACAACAACAATCATTAATGATGTAACAGAAGGAAGCTTTCCTAAAGCAAAAACAGGGCAGAATCTAAAAAAGGGCAGGCCAAAGAGTGACCAGTGCATATGCTAATGATGCCACAAGACTTCCAGGTGAGAGCTTTGTGGCTTCAGATCAGGTGATAAATGGCCCTGCTACCTAGGGGTGGAGGGATTGGTCGCAGCCTGGATGTGACTTGGGCATGGAGGCAGCTCCACTCTGAGCTAACCAAAGGGCAGGGAACAAAGGGCTTCACTGGGGCAACAAAGTCAGGAAAGGACTCACAGGAACAAGTCTCCATCTCCAAGCCATACTAAAGCTCAACTCCTCAGCAGTTGAGAAGGCAGACAGCCCCCTCGCAGGAGGTGCCCCCAGGGGAAGGCCCAGACTTAGACAGGGGGCTATCAGGGGCTCCGATAGCCACCGGTCCCCAGGGCACTCCTGTTCTGCTGTCACTCAAAGTCAGAAATGTCTCTAGATCCACTGGTTTGCTTTGTAATTTCTGGAAACTCATTTAGCCTTGTGGAGCCTCAGTTTCCCCACCTGTAAAATGGTAGTAGTCACATTCCACCCACCTGGAGTTGCTGTGAGGATTAAGGTCAGAGTGTGAATGAACTATCTAGTCCTGCCTAGTACATCATTTCTGTTTCTCCCAGGACCCATATGGGGACAGTTCATGGATCTGTGTGACTAGGCTTCTCTCCATCCCCCTGCCACCACCTGCTGCTGCCTCTCCTCTACCTCTCTTACCCTCTTTAATCCCTTCTCTCTCTCTCCCTCTCTCTCTCTCTCTCTCTCTCTCTCTTTCTCTTTTGGTGGCACTAGGGTTTTAAATCAGGGCCTAATGCTTGCTAGGTAGGCATTCTTGCCACTTGAGCCACTATTTTGTGATAGGGTTTTTTCTGAAATAAGGCTATTTGCCTGAAGTTGGCTTTGAACTGAGATCCTCCTGATCTGTCTCCTGAGTAACTGGATTACAGGGGTGAACTACCAGTGCCAGGTCTCTTTAATCACTTCTCATTATACAAGTTAACACCCACACCACCCACAAATAACAAACAAGCGTGGGGCGGACCCCCCACCCTCTCTGTCCTGCAGTATGGTCCAAAGGCTCCAGCCTTTGCTCTCGCTTGGTCCTTTGGTTCCACTTTGGGGTTGCCCATGCTGCACCTCACCAACCTTGTTAGAGCCCTGAGGCAGAGCTCTCAGGAGAAGCCCTTACTATCACATGCACCAGCTCTAGGGCGCGCCAGAGATGCACTTAATGAACCAACAATGGACCCACACAGACTCACAGACAGACTGACAGGCAGGTGCACACACCCATGAACCCAGGATTCCAGCTGGGGCCAATGCTGCCTACAAGGCATGAGGGCCGTGCCCATGGGGCAAATTCGGGTAGGCTCTGTGGAGGCGGCAGGGCCTTGGGCTGGACTTGGGAGAGCCTTGACCACTGGACTTCACCAGCTCTGGGCCACAGTTTCTGCAGCCCTGAGCCTGGAGTCCACCCTCAGTGCCAGGGTTACACTGACACTCCCTTGCCCCACCCTCAAAGGCTTCATGATCACTGGGAACTCCTTAACCTCAATACGTGCCATCCTGAATTTTGTTTGTGAAAATTACTCTGCTGTTAACTAGTCCTCGCCCTGTCCCTGGATCCCCCATCTTCTGCTCCTTAGTATACCCACCCCTTACTCCCTCACCTCCACCCGCTGGCTCCCTCCAAACCACAGGTTTTCCCTCTGTGCCCTCCCCAAACTGCACACACACCTGGCAGCTCTTCCCCTCTGCCCAACATACCTTCTCATGTCTAGCACCAGGGAGTCCTGGGTCCTCCAAGGCCTTTCCATCCTCCATTCGTCTCTGGGAGGTGACAGTCATAGGGTGACCCACCGAGAGCATCTTTCACTCACCCTCAGGACCGTAGGGTTCCAGGTTCTCAACTTGAAGGTGTGCTAACCCCACTGCCTGTTTGCTAAGCCTCCTCCATACATCAGAACCCAACCCACCCCCTCCAGGAAGGCACCCCCCAAATCCTCCTGTGCTCCCTCCACATCTGAGGCTGCAGGGAGAGCAGGACTAGAGGACTGGGGTGAGAGTCCCAGTGGGCATTGCCTGTCCCTCTGCCTGACCATGGTTAGAGGAAGCACCCAGATTCCAGTCTTTTTGGGGACACTGAGTTCCAGAGGCCAGTGGTCTGTGGACTGTCAGGTGAAGGAAGTACAGTTGGGGGAATCCCCAAATCCTCAGGGAGGCTAATCACAGCTCTGGCACTCACAGCCCTCTCTGTCAATGGGAGGCCCTGGGCACCCCCAGGTCTCCCTCTGGAGTCTGTACCTCCATGTCTGCTAAGTGCCTCTTACCCACCATGGCTCCAACCACACCAAAGCCCCCTGAAGCCCTGTGTGGTTCTGGCACTCCACCTTGTACCCTCCTGCAAGCCCTTTGGCCCTTCTGCAGCTGGTCTAGTCTCTTCAGAGTCCCAGATGAGCCCCAGGTGGGCCTGAGTGTAGGGCGGGCCCCAGCCGTGCCAGGCGTGTGCCTCCGGGCCGCTCGGCGCCGCACAAACTTGTCTCCCGGGATTTTTCCACACAAAACACGTCTCCCAAGGAAGCAACCGGTCGGATGAGCTGGGTGTGCGGCTTTCGCACCCCGCCCTCCGGTGCCCCCACAGCGGCATCCTTAGGCAGAGGTTGCCCACAGGAGCTGGGCCCGGGATGGAGCCCAGGATGCATCGGTCTGCAGCAGTGGCCTCTGGGATGAGCCCAGGGTCCAACGGGATCGGGATCCGGACCACCAGCAGGGTAGGACTTCTAGCCCTGCCCCACCCCAACCCTCACCCAGTGGCCCAACCCAGGCTTCACCCTGACAATGTTTCACTTTTCTGGGGTCACTCTCCATTCACCCCTCACTGATCTCTGGCTTTCACCCTCTAGTCCTTCCTCCCTCACCTTGATCCCAGTGCTGCCTCCTCACTTTCTTTTTTGGTGGTGGTGCTAGGGGGTTGAACTCAGGGCCTTGTGCTTACTAGGTTGGCATTCAGCCATGCCCCCAGACCTTTTGTTTTTGTTTTTGGTGGTACTAGGATTTGAACTCAGGGCCTCATGCTTGTTAGGCAGGTGCTGTGCCACTTGAGCCACAATGACGGCCCATGCCTCCTCACTCTTGAGGCCCCTTCTCACTCCAAGCCTTGGCCCCCATCCACCCTCCATTAACATAGACACCTTCAGGGAACCAAGGCTCAGGGCAAGGGCCATCCATGTGCAAGGAGAGCTTAGGCAGAACCCAGAGCCAGATTGCAGGAAGAGGTAGAATCTGGGAGCTAGCAGTCCCAGAGTTGGGGGAAAGCACAGGAGCAGGTTGAGGGGACTCCTCCCCACGTTCCTTCCAGCCCTTCTGGGTTTAGCCCCTGCCCTCAACCTACCAGGGTTTTTCCCAGATGCCAGGCCTGCCCCAGAGCACTTAGACCATGATGGTCCGCCCAGCTGGGGTGCTCAGGAGACCTTCTCCGGGCAAGCTCTGCTGCCTCCCACTCCAACCCTCCCATCCAACTCCTACCCCCCACTCCTGAGCCCTCCACAAACCCCACCTCCTACCCACCCCCCCAGCCTGGCAGGTGCTGACATGAGCCTAGGCCCCTCTGAGTCAACCCCCTGGGGCAGCTCCGCCTGCCTGCCCTGACTCATGTGTTGGGAACGGGCCTCCCACCCCAGGCCTTGGGGGCAGGAGCTAGGGAGAGGTGCCAGAGAGGGACCAGCAATCTATTTGAGGCCCCAGCAGAGGTGGGGGGGCTACAGGCAAGTTCCTGGGTCTCCAGGCCTTCTGGGGGGTCTCACTGGGCTCCAAGGACCTAGGCAAGGGCACCTATGGGCTGCCACCTTCAACACTCAAGCTCCAGCCCTCAAGTCCTTTGTCTTCCACCCAGACCCTGAGCACTGACCCAGCCCCCAACAGTGTCCCTCAATGCTAGCCCCTCTCTGGGCCTCACCAAATCTGTGCTGGGCCATCTTGAAGGCTGCCTGGTCCTTGGAGCTCTAGAACCCCCAGGCCTCTGGGAGCAGGGATGGCAGGCCAAGGGCTCCCCAGTAGGTCTACCCTTCCTTCACACTCAGGATATTGGCCCCATGGGATCTGGTCTGGCTTTTGCAGTCTGTGAGCAAGTAGGACCTGCTCCCTTATGGTCCCATCCAGAGATGAGAGGAGTTAGAGAGGCCAGGCCAGGACTTGGGGATACACAGGGCCTGTTCTTCCGCCCGAATTCCACCTTAAGCAGGCGGAGGCCTGTCCCTCCCACCTGGCCCAGGTGTCCCCGCCCCCAGCAGAGCTCAGGGCTGGGCGGGCGTCTGTCTCCAGGCCGGCTCTAAGCTCACCAGCAGGGAGGGGACTTCAGGGACAGGGCCTCAAGGGACAAGACCGGAAAAGAGGCCCAGGCCAGGAGAGCCAGGCCAGGCACCCCTGCCACCATGCAGGACGGTAACTTCCTGCTGTCGGCCCTACAGCCGGAGGCTGGCGTGTGCTCCCTGGCCCTGCCCTCAGACCTGCAGCTGGACCGCCGGGGCACCGAGGGACCGGAGGCTGATCGACTGCGAGCAGCCCGAGTACAGGAGCAGGTCCGAGCCCGCCTCCTGCAGCTGGGGCAGCAGCACCGGCACAATGGGGCAGCTGAGCCGGAGAGTGCCACTGATGTTAGCAGAGGTAGGCCAATGCTGGCAAAGGTGGGCAACAGGCGGTGGGGACAGCGGTGGTGGGCAGAGGTGGCCAAGGCGGTGGGTGTGGTGGTGCCAGGGGCAGAGGCCGCTTGAGCTCCAGGGTTCAGCCCTTGACTCACTGAGGCCTGCTCTGAGTCACCGCCCCGCCCCAACGGGCGTAGGGAGCAGCATGGGTGGGGCATCCCACCTTCCCAGCAGGGACCCCTGGGTCCACCAGGGCTGGAGCCTGGTTAAGCCCACCAGTCCCTTACCCTTGAGCTTCCCCCCACCACCGGGGGAACAACAGGGGAAGATGGGCACATGGCGAGCAGGCCAGGCCCATCTGTCGACAAACCCGGAACACACACTCCTCGTCCTATGGAACACAGGCTCCCAGGCAGTCTCAGACAGAGACGCCAGTGTCCCTCCCCACCCAACAGGAGTGAATGGAACACTAGTGGCGGGGGAGAAGGAGGGGGGAAGGCAATAGGAAATCCTGGACAGAGCCAGGGCCTGTCTGGACTAGGGGCTCCCTGAGGAATTGCAAAGCCAAGCCTGGTTGGAATGACCTAGATATTCTCCATGAGAAGAACAGGTGGGGGTGCCCCTCAGTGCAGCCAGACCCACTGGGGTGTGTGTGTGTGTGTGTGCGCATGCACACACAGGTATTAAGGCATCATCAGACATGCTAAACTCAGGATAGCCCTTCTGAAAATGTCATTTCCTCCTTTACCAACCTACAGAAACAGGGATTAAGGTTTGACAGTAAGACAAACCTCAGGTTAGAGGCCTAGACCCCCAGGTTACAGTGGTCCACATGGTGTTTGGATGGTCTCCAGAACTGGCCTCCAGCCACTGGCTGAGGGAAAGAGGGTCAGGAGGGGCTGGCCAGGATGGCTGGAGTGTTGCCCGCCCCCCCTCTGGGCTTCAGCCTTGCTGGGGCCAAGTCAGTGCCCAGGGGTCATGAGATGGGGGAAGGCACAGGAAGAGCTAATTACCACCTGGCCACCCTGCCAATTAGGGGAGGAGGATAGTAATTTGGGGGTGGGCGTAAAGCCCCTAGGCTGGCCTAACTAGCGTCAAGGGTTAACAGCCCCTGCTAGAAGCCTCATTAACCTGGGTGGGTCCAGGGAGGTGCTGGATGAGTGTGACTCTGGATCATCCAACCCCCCCAGGTAAAGCTGGGGGAAGGGCCAGGACCCCTTCTCTACCCCACCCTGAGCCCTTTAGACGATTGTCAGGCTGGGAGCCCTTCCCACAAGCAGGGACCCTGGTAGAGGCTGAACCCCTGCTTCAGGCACTTTCCACTGTGCTGCCCTGGCTTTCTGTGATGATCTGCTTCCTGGCTGGTCTCATGTGCCCACCTGTTGGTCCACTCTGCACCCACCACATGACCACACAGTTGTGCATTCATCATCTACCATATGACCCTCACTCCTCACCCAACCCTCTGTCCACTGGTCTGCCTGACCATCCATCCGCCTATTCTGCCAAGGGTTCTACCAGGCATCCATCCCTCCCCCACCCACCTTTCTGTCCACTCACTGTGAAGCCAGCCTGACATCCTGCCCTCACTGATGTGTGACTGGATGGGGTGGGTGCGGTCCCTGCCTTGGGCTCTATCAGGTGGGAGAGGCTACTGCCCATCAGGGCAGACTGGTCCAGGGAGACCAGTCCTTGACCAGCACAACATCACTCCCTTGTGAACACAGCAGATGGGGTCTAGGCACAGGAGGAGCTCCAAAGAGGTCAGTGTGGGCTGGCTTCCTGGAGGAGGGGGCTGAATGTTGTGCTCTGGCGGAGACCAGACAGCTGATCAAGACCCTGGTGCATTCCCCAGGCAGCCCAGAAGTCAGTGGGGTGAGTGCTCTGTCCTCTCTTGGGCAGAAGAGGCAGAGCTGGGGGTTCTGTGTGAGAGGGACCACCAGGGTAGACACTGGAGTTGAGGAGCCACGGCCATGACAGGACTAAGGGCCAGGCACCAGCCCTGAAGCCCACTTGGCCTTCCTGCCTGATAGGCTGAGGTCACTCCCAGGGTCATGGATAGAGAAGTCTAGCACAGGGGAGGAGAGAGGCCAGCACTTTGCCATCTGGCCAGGTGGGGCTACCACTATCCCCATCCACAGGTATGTCCAGGGGTCAGTACCATACCTTGCAGACTGGCTTCAGCTCCCGCTCCCAGGGACTGAGTGGTGACAAGATCTCGGTGAGTAAAGAAATTGGCCAGTCCACACTGAGTGGGAGGCTCTGTGGTTGAGGCTGGAGGCTCCAGGGTCAGAGAGGGAATGGATACCAGGTGAGCCCCGGGCACCCCTTCACCGCACCCTCCTTGTCCACAGGCCTTCAGGTCCATTGCCAAGCCGACCTACAGCCCAGCCTCCTGGTCCTCCCGCTCAGCTGTGGACCTGAGCTGCAGTCGGAGGCTGAGCTCCGCCCACAATGGGGGCAGCGCCTTTGGGGCTGTAGGGTATGGGGGCACCCAGCCCACCCCACCCATGCCCGCCCGGCCAGTGTCCTTCCATGAGCGTGGTGGGGCAGGCAGCCGGGCTGATTATGACACATTGTCCCTGCGCTCACTGAGGCTGGGGCCAGGGGGCCTGGATGACCGCTACAGTGTGGCATCTGAGCAGCTGGAGCCTGCAGCTGCCTCCTCCTACAGAGCCTTTGCCTATGAACGTCAGGCCAGCTCCAGCTCAAGCCGGGCAGGGGGGTTGGACTGGCCAGAGGGTGCTGAGGGTCCCCCCAGCCGGACCATCCGTGCCCCTGCCATGAGGACCCTGCAGCGATTCCAGAGCAGCCACCGAAGCCGTGGAGGGACCGGGGCAGTGCCGGGGGCTGGCCTGGAGCCTGTGGCCCGAGCTCCTTCTGTGCGCAGCCTCAGTCTCAGCCTGGCAGACTCGGGCCACCTGCCAGATGTGCGTGGGCTGGACAGCTATACTGGCCACCGCACCCTGCAGAGACTCAGCAGTGGGTGAGCACTTGGGCCTGGTGCAGGGAGGGAACACTGTGCTACACAGCCTGGCCTGAACCCAGAGTCAGCCTGATTCCTGACCCCTGGCTCTGCAGCTTTGATGACATTGACCTGCCCTCCGCAGTCAAGTACCTCATGGCCTCAGACCCCAACCTGCAGGTTCTAGGAGCGGCCTATATCCAGCACAGGTGCTACAGTGACGCAGCAGCCAAGAAGCAGGTGACGCTGGGTGATTGCTCCACTGGCCCTGCACACCCCTGGTGACCACTTTCACTGTCCCCCATGCACACACACCTCTCCCTGACCTCAGGCTAACTGGACAGGCTCCACCCTGTCCAGAACCTCCTCAGCAGAGAAAGGGCAGGGATGTGACCATTGTATATACCTGAATACACCTGCACCATCTCCGTACACCTGCATCATCTGCATCCCCACACACATGTGCACATAGCACACTCATGTCCACACATGTGGACACGTCTGCATGCATGTGCCACAGGCTCGCAGCCTTCAGGCCGTGCCTAGGCTGGTGAAGCTCTTCAACCACGCCAACCAGGAGCTGCAGCGCCATGCCACGGGCGCCATGCGTAACCTCATCTACGATAATGCGGATAACAAGCTGGCCCTGGTTGAGGAGAATGGCATCTTTGAGCTGCTGCGGACACTGCGAGAGCAGGACGACGAACTGCGCAAGAATGTCACAGGTGCCCTCGTCCCACCTGCCCCCGATGCTGGTCCCCTCCTGCCCCCACTGCCCCCTTGTCTTCTCTCCTCCCCTCTATCTCCCCCGTCCCCACAATAGTCCCTCCTTCCCCTTGCCATTCTCCACTATCTGTGTATATTTCCCTTCCCTGCCCTAGCTCTTTCTTGGTCCCCCAAAACTTTCCGTTCTTGTGGGGATTTGTTTTGTTTTGTTTTGTTTTGTGCTGGGGATGGAAATCATGGTCTCAAGTATGCCTGGCAAGTGTTCTACAGTGGGCTCCATTCCAGCCCAGGCTCTCCCTTTGTAGTCCCCCGCCCCCAGGCCCTAATGTGTCCAAGCCTTGTCCTCTTTAGCACGGTCCCAGCCCCATACCTCCAGCAGTCACAATGAAGGTCTCCCCAGCGGAGGTCTTGGGTAAGGAGGCACAAAGCACCAGGAAGGTGTAGGGAGTCTCCTCTGTACCAATCCTAGAATGGGGCCAGTGGGCTGACCCTGACCACAGTCTCGGCCTGCCTGTCCAGGGATCCTGTGGAACCTGTCATCCAGTGACCACCTGAAGGATCGCTTGGCCCGTGACACGCTGGAGCAGCTCACAGACCTGGTGCTGAGCCCCCTGTCAGGGGCAGGTGGGCCCCCCCTCATCCAGCAGAATGCCTCTGAGGCTGAGATCTTCTACAATGCTACTGGTTTTCTTAGGTGTGCTGGGTGGGGGGCGAAGGCCAGGAGAGCATGGGGAGAAATAGCCAGGTGCTTGTGGAGGGGGTGGGGAAGCTCTGAGTTGAAGCATTTATATCTGAGGCCTAAATTACAAGGATAGAGAGTTGACCAGGGGAGGTGGGAGAAGTAGATAGCCAGACAAGGCTTGGTGGCTGAAGCAGGAGTAGGACAGGCCAGATGGAGTCACCAGATGTGGGTGTCAGCAGACTTTGGGGCTACAGGCTCAGTTTCAAGTCAGATCCCTTGATCTGACATTCATCTTCTTCCCAAACTTCAAGGAGTAGATTAGGGGATGGACAGGCAGAGGAACCAGGCTAGCAGTGTTCAGCAGGGACTAGAAACAAGAGGTGCCAGGAGCTAGGCCCGGCTTGGAATGGAAAAGAGATTGGTGCCCAGAGATGCCCCTAGGGCAAGGGCGTAGGGCTATGGGTCCCTGGGGGTAGCTCTGCAGGGTTCCAGGGGATGGGGTCTGACTTGCCTCCATCCCCAGGAATCTCAGCTCAGCCTCCCAGGCCACTCGCCAGAAGATGCGCGAGTGCCACGGGCTAGTGGATGCTCTGGTCACCTACATCAACCATGCCCTGGACGTGGGCAAGTGCGAGGACAAGGTGAGGGGCAGCCAGTGCCAAGGGGGCCCAGGGGCTTCGGCCCGCTCTGACCACCTTCCACCCTCTACAGAGCGTGGAGAACGCTGTGTGCGTGCTGAGGAACTTGTCCTACCGCCTGTATGACGAGATGCCACCATCGGCCCTGCAGAGGCTTGAGGGCCGGGGCCGCAGGGACCTGACCGGGGCACCACCTGGTGAGGTGGTGGGCTGCTTCACACCACAGAGCCGGCGGCTTCGTGAGGTGGGTACAAGCCTGGGTGGACGGGAGCAGAAAGTCCTGGTCTGACACCCCCCTCCCGGCCTCAACTTCACCCCTGGCCAGCTGACCCCTGCACCTTCCCATCCAGCTGCCTCTGACAGCCGATGCGCTCACCTTCGCGGAGGTGTCTAAGGACCCCAAGGGCCTCGAGTGGCTGTGGAGCCCACAGATCGTGGGGCTCTATAACAGGCTGTTGCAGCGCTGTGAGTTGAACCGGCACACAACAGAGGCAGCTGCTGGTGCACTACAGAACATCACCGCAGGCGACCGCAGGGTCAGTGGCTGATGGGCCCCACTCTTAGTCCTGTGCTAGGTGACAGGACACACAGACAGGAGCCACCCCCTGAACAGTTCACGTCCCGTTGGGAGCAGGATGCTCAAGAGAGAGACATGAAATGAGGCCCGTGCTCAGCCCAAGGGACAGGGCTCTGTGCACATGGGGGTTCTGGAAGGTCTGAGCAGAGGGGCTGCCTGGTTAGGTCCTGGCTGGGTGAGGACAGAGCAGGAGGAGGTGGCCATAAGGAGGCAGAAAAGCAGTTCTGTCTGTGTTAGGACAGGGCTGACTGGGGTGCTGCTGGAGCTTCACCACCCTCCGGTCCCTTCCCCTCAGTGGGCAGGCGTGCTAAGCCGCCTGGCCCTGGAACAGGAGCGCATCCTAAACCCTCTGCTGGACCGTGTTCGGACCGCTGACCACCACCAGCTGCGCTCGCTGACTGGCCTTATCCGAAATCTGTCACGGAATGCCAGGAACAAGGATGAGATGTGTGAGTCAGGCTGTCCCCTGCCCAGCCCACACCCTTTGTCTGCCCAGCCAGCTGGCTCCTGGCTAGCAAGATGGAGAGGGTGAGCAGGCAGCTCCCAGAGGAGGCTGGGACCCAGGGTGCTAAGATATCCAGGAATGGGGGACACTGACTCCCCCCCGCCTCCCCACAGCTACCAAGGTGGTGAGTCACCTGATTGAGAAGCTCCCTGGCAGTGTGGGTGAGAAGTCTCCCCCCGCCGAGGTGCTGGTCAATATCATAGCTGTACTCAACAACCTGGTGGTGGCCAGTCCCATTGCCGCCCGAGATCTGCTCTACTTTGATGGGCTCCGAAAGCTTGTCTTCATCAAGAAGAAGCGGGACAGGTGAGAGCTGACCTGATTGACAGCAGCCTGGCTGGGTGCCCTGCCCTGACCACCCTGCCTCCCTGGCCCTGACCCTGACCCTTCTGACTGCCCTCAGCCCCGACAGTGAGAAGTCCTCCCGAGCAGCCTCCAGCCTCTTGGCCAACCTATGGCAGTACAGCAAGCTGCACCGAGACTTCCGGGCGGTATGTTCTGCAGAGCCTAGACAGCAGGGTCATGGAGTGTGGGCCAAGTGCAGGGCACAGGTCAGGGGAGAGACACAATCCTACATGGAGTAGGGGACCTGGAATCTAGAGGCAAGGGGCCCAGCACACCATGGGGAGGACAGGGTTTCAGGAACAGCAGGGCAGGGCAGCATAAGTGGCCCTAACCAAAACCCCCTCCCCACTTCAGAAGGGCTATCGGAAGGAGGACTTCCTGGGCCCGTAGACAAGGCCTCCTGGAGGAGAAGGTGGAAGTGGTCCAGCCTCTGAGGAAGAGGCTCAGCGCCAGCTGCTCACCAGCCCGCCTGGAGGAGGAGCTGATGGCCACGGGGCCTCTCCCCAGAGCCCCGTATGCACCTAGGAGGGGCTGGGGCCACCAGAGGGGATGGGGGCTTGCAGCTAGGGGTTGGCTTCTGCAGGGCATGGGGTGGGGCAGGGCTTGAGCTGCTCTGGTGCATGGGATGGTGACACAGTCACAGTGGCAGAGGTGGGGCTACCCTTGGCCTGGTGGTGCCTTGAGATAGCAGCACTGGGAATAAAGGTGGCTTTGAACAAGCTGTTCCATGTGCTTCCATGGCTGGCCACTGGTTTTGGACTGAGAGTGCCCCCAAGGACACTCACCCTTGAGCTCACATACAGGCCTCCAGGACAGTCTAGCAGAGGGAGCAGAGACAGGCACAGACAGCAGAGCTTGGGACACCTGAGCAGAGGAGTAACCAGAAGCTGGCAGTCCCATCCTTTGCCCACACTGAGCTGGCACTGGGGAGCTCAGTCCTGCCCCGAGTCCTGGAGGTGCACTGGCCAGGGGCTCTTACTGGCTGCCAAAGACTTGGGGTCCAGGAGGCTCAGGGATACCCACAATCATCTAAAGCTACTATTGAGGGCTGGTGGCATGGCTTAAGCAATAAGAGTGCCTGCCTAGAAAGCATGAGGCCCTGAGTTCAAACCCCAGTGCTGCCAAAAAAAAAAGGCATAAAGCTACTATTGATAGTTTTACAACAAAAGCATCTTTGAAGCTCAGAACTTGAGGACTCTAAGGGGCCTGTCCCTCCCCAGGATCTGTCCAGATCAGAAGGGGCTGGGAGTAGCCATATCCCCAACCAAGAACCAGGCATGGAGATTGGGGGCTACTGCAAGGGATATGCTAGGGCTGGCTCAGGATGGAGAAGGATGGAAAGGGCAGATTTGAGTGGACAGCCAGCTTGGGAGATGCAGTTGGTAAAGACGAGAAAGGGCCACAGAGAGCCTGAGATGGAAGCAAAAAGAGGCCAAGCGGTACCCATCCAGAAGAGAAGGCCCAGGCAAAAGCCAAGAGGACTTTATTTGAAGGCACTCTGGAGCCATACTCCTTCCCTGAGGGAGAAGGCAGGGTCTACAGGCAGGGGTTTTGGCCTTTCCGGGGGAAGCCTGCCTGCCCCTACCCCACCGCTGCCCCCATGATTCTACACTGTGTTGGGGTGAGGGCTACACATCGTCCTCAGACACCAGGCAGTAGAAGTCTGTACGGGCACTGTAGTTTCGGGAACCGAGATCAGAGACGTCCATCTCGCTGCCACGGCCCTCTCCCAGCAAGACCCCACTTGCATGTACTGGAGCTGGTGGCTCCCCAAAGACAGGCCCACGGACACCTGGGTGTGGAGGGTACGACAAGGCCTGAAGCTGGACAGTCCACAAACTGCCTTTCACCAGGACCCCACCACTTGGAGGCCACTCCCTGCTCACCCCCAGCCACAGTGGCACTAGAAGTCCAGGAAGTTCCCAGGGAGGTCTTGGATCCAAGCACCTCCACAGAGAGAGGCAGTCGTAGTAGTGGGTCTGGGTGGACATACCCAGGTCTCCCTCCGGGTCAGGGTCCAGCTCCCGCTCTAGGGCCCGGCTCTCAGCAACACGGCCTTGCACAATCAGCATGGGATCCTTGTCGTCCTGCAGCTGGGTCTGGGGGTCTCCCTGCACGGGCCTATACTGCACTTTCCGTGGCAGTGCAAGCTGCAGCTCTTTCCAAAAATCAGAGGAAGGCGTCTGCGGGCCAGGTTCGTGAGCACACGGATGTATACAAACTAGAAGCCCCTGACCACCCTGGCCCCCCGGCCCCAAAAGATGACTGGCAAGTCCTCAGGGACCCCAGCACCACAGGGTCCCACTCACAAACCCCACCCTGAACAGCACCCCCAATCCCCTCACCACGGAGCCAGGCTTCCAGAGCAGTAGGGTCACCAAATGGCGATGCTGGCGCAGCAGGTGGAGTGCTGGGTGCGTGGGGTCACGCTTCTGGCTCTCGAAGGTGATGAAGATGGGTCTGCGTGTGAGCTCCAGCAGCCGGCACAGGCCCTCCCTGAGGAGGCGGGACTGTTAGGCAGGGCACAACCAGGGCCCTCCCCATCCCACGCGAGACGCACCGGAAACTGTGGCTGCACCAGGCTCGGCCTAGAAAGGCGTCTGAAAGCACCACGATGAGGCGCCGGCAGCGGCTCAAGTTCACCAGGAGGTCGGCTGAAGGCTCTGCAGCGCGGGGGTAGGGCAGGGTTGACTGACGGCTGAGGGGCGGGGCGGCAGCTAGGAACTAGGGGAGGGGCGGGGCCAGCGAGGAGGGCGGGGCGGCAGCTAGGAACTAGGGGAGGGGCGGGGCCAGCGAGGAGGGCGGGGTGCTGGGGCTGGAGCCTAGACGGGGCCGGCGGCGAGGGCGGGGAGCTGGGAATTAAGAAGGGACGGGATTTGTGCAGGGATAAGGCCATTGGCGAGGGAGGGGCTGTGGGAACAGGAGAGGGGCGGGACCATGTGGCAGTGGAAGGGACTGACACGTCAGGGCCCGGGCCAGTATCCCGGCCTTTACCTGCACGCGGGAGGAGGTCGCGGTCGTCCAGGAAGAGCTTGTACCCCCGACGCCTCTCCAGCTGCGGCTTCAAGATGAAGTTCACGAACTTGCGGTCCTCTGGGGAGTCGCTATAGGACACGTAGGCGTCGTAGAGTTTCCCGTCTGCGGACGGCGGCCAGTCAGTGCGGCCACTTCCGAGGCCTCAGCCCTAATCCCCAGGCGTCCCCAGGGTCCCCAGCGCCGGGCACCTCTCCCGACAAGTGCCAGGGCTCTTCTTCTGCAGCCCCCAGTCCTGTGCCCTGCTGGACCACACAAAGACACCCTCTTTCCTGGGTCGTACACCCCAGAGACCTCCAGGGGTACAGCCTTCCCATTCCCTCCAGTAAGGAGGAACTTCCCCCACCCGGAGCTAAGCCCAGAATGTGCCTCCTCAGAAAGGCCTCCATCTGACCTTGTACCTCCATCCATGTGGAACCCTACTCACCATTCATCTCCACCTCCCCATAAGCATCTTGGTACCAAAGCAGCACGTTGAGGCGGCATTTGAGGTATAACAGGGCTGCTAGCAGCAGAGCCAACAGGACCAGGAGGGAGGCCAACACTGCGGCCACATGGCCTGCCAGGCCTACAAACAGGGTGGGCCTGAATCACTGTCCCTCAACGTCAGGACCCTGGGTACCTCCTACCCTCCACTCCCATGTACCCCCCTCACCAGCTCTCCAAAGAGTGAAGGAGAAGGAGCTGACATTCTGGACAGAGCAGGTGAAGGCCCCATAGTCCTCAGCATTGGTCAAGTTGACCCCCAGGATACTGGACACAAGCACCTCTGAGAAGTTGGTCTTGACCCTGGGGAAACCAAAAATAACTCTCACCCAGGGCCTGAGAGCATCAGTGGATGCCCTGAGCCCCATCTGTCTGGGGTTCACTCAGAGAGGCTGCAGATTTGGACTTCATAGGTGGTTCTCTGGCCATAAGCTAAGAGAACTGTCAGTATCTGCAGCTGTGTGGCTGTGTTTCAAGATGTCACCTAATCCCAGGTCTGGGTCCTGGAGGTCCTCTGATCCCAGGTTTGGCTGGTCAGTGCCTCACTTAGGACCTAGGACTCTGCTGGCACCCATAGTCCTTAGCAATTTATAGGGTGAGTGTCTACAGGGGTCCTGAAAACCCCAGGATCTGTCACTATAGTCATCAACCCTCCATCTAATGTTCTCATAGTGGCACTCTGGCCATGTTAGGTCTAGCCAGTTACTACAGACCAGGGTGCAGGTCAGAGAGGCTACTGGCCCTGGGTATGTCCAGGTGGTCACTCTGACCCTGGACATCCCAGTCTCTTACCGGAAGTCCTCATGGAGACTGTAGTGGCTTCCATTGGGCAATGGAAGCCCGTCTTTTAGCCACTGGACTGAAGGCTGGGGGCAGTATGGTCCAGAGACCACCCTAGCCGTGCAGTTCAGAGAAACTGCACTGCCCAGGGCAGGTCCCAGGGCCTGATCTTCAGATGGGGAGAGGAAGTCTGGGGCCCTGTCACAGGTACCTGTAGAGATAGGACAACAGTAGGCCAGCAACACAAAAATGCTGAGCTCCCACCCATCCACAGATGGTCTGTGGTCTTGAAAAAAATAAGGGAATGGGTGAGTGGTATGTGTTGCTCAGTGATCATACCATGTGTACTCGTGAGTCCCGTGGGGACAGGGCCCAGCATTTGGCACTCTTCCCTCATTCTCCCCCTGCAGTGGCCAGTCTTGTGTGTTCTAACCACCCTGGAAGTGACCACCTTGTGCACAGGGAACATGAGCAGGGAGGGCAGTGGCCAGAGTCATAGTTGAACTGACCCAGCCCAACCACTCAGGACCCATCTGGCAGCTCATCTGTGCAGAGGAGAAGAAAAACACTGCATCCCACAGCCTGGACTGCCTCTGCTGGGGTGCTGCAGAGAGTGGGCACCAGCAGGTTGGAAGAATACACAACAAGTGTGCCAGCACTTTCCACTTTCCCAGCTGGGACCCTGGGGTTCCAGGATCCCCCAATGGCCACAGGCAAGACCTCCCCACCTCCCTGAGACCTGAACTTTCTCACTTTTAAATCAGGGGGATGAGCCCTCTATAGCACCTACCCACTCTACCCTGGGCCTTCCATGTGCCTGGTCTGGAGGGCTTGGGCAGGAGAGGGTTTGAGGCCCATCCTTACCACCTTCCTTGGGTTCAGAACCAAAGGCTGGGGAGGAGGGGTTAGCTGAGAGGCCTTTGTACCCCAGCATGCATCCAAGCAGAGAGCCCAGGGAAAGAGCAGAAAGTGGGCATGGAGCCAGCCTCAGGGGTAGGACCTGGGAGTGGGGACATATGCCTGTCCTTCTCTGCCTCACCTACCTGCCATGGCTGTAGCCAGGGCCTCCTCAGGGCAGGCTGGACACAGGCTCCTTAACCAAGTAGACTGGTCCACTGAGGGTTGTGCAGGACCTGTTTCTGTCCTTGTAGCCAGTTGGACAGGGTGCCTGGACAGGTCAGAGGCTGCTGCCATCCCCAGGGAACAAGTTAAACAGGAACAGGATGAGTTAAACAGTAACTGTCAGCCACAGGCAGCACTGGCCCTATACCAGGCGGATGTCCTGTTGCCCTTGCTAGCCTCAGAGGTGTCCAGTGAGCTCCCAAACAGCCCAGGGAGGCAGGAAGGAGACCTCTAGCCTAGGACCACCTTCACTTGCCCTGGGACCACTATGATGATCCTGGGTTGCCTGGTCTTATGGGGTGGCAATTAGCCTCATTCCTGGGTTTTGGACCACTCTCAGCCTCCAACAGCAGCCTGTGACTCAAAAAACAATTCACTGGGCTGGCAGAGTGGCTCAAGTGGTAGTGACTCCTAGCAAGTGCAATGACCTGAGTTCAAACCCCAATACCACCACTACAAAAAAAAAAAAAAAAAAAAAGCACTGCACTGCAGTGGGGCATGGCCACAAGGAGGAGGTGCCAGAGTGCTCTTCTTTGGCAGTCTGGGGTTTCCTCCTCCTTGGGTGCCCCAGGCCTACCCTCTTAGTCAACAGGCATTTACTGAGCACCTACTCCCCCCTCCCTTGCCAGTAGACACATAGGCAGTAGAGACATGGAGTTAAGACCCTAAGGCTCCAGAGACTTTGGCAGTGAGGAGCCTCTTAGCCTGCCCCCTGTTCCTTCTGCACTGGGTAATGCAGAGTCAGAAACCCCTGGCTTAGCTGGGCAGCAGTTTCAAACTGGTTCGGCATGTACACATTCCTGTCCGGGCTGGCAAGGGGGTTCTTCCAGATGCCCTTTGGGGTAAAGGGCAGACCTAGGAAAGTCCTTGGAACAGAAGAACTGCCCAATGAGGGGTAGAAGACATCCCCTTTCATGCAACAGACCCCTTACAACATGACCAGGGGACACACCCCCGACCAGCAGGTACCAGAGCATCTCTTCAGGGATCTCTCCCCTCAACCTCCCTAAGCTTGGAAGACCTTGAACCCCCCAGAAGTCAAGGCAACTATCAACATGTATCAGCTGTCTTCACCCGCTTCTCCTGTACACCTCATGCACATACAGCCCTCTGGCCCCACACACCTGCACCCAGCTCACTTTGGGAGGCACACACACGTACCACTTCCACAGTAAGGGGTGAAACACACCCTTACTACCGCTGCACACAGCTCAGGCTACACACTCTTGCTACACTCCCACAGAGCTCAGAGCACCCCACGGTACATACACTGTACCTCCTATTGCCCTCAAACTCTCTCTCTCTCACACACACACACACGTGTTCGTGTGCACATGTGTGTTTGGGGTGCTCACATATGCCCAAAGCAACAGTCAGGCCTACCTCTGAGGACAGGCCGCAAAGCCACAGGCTTACTCAGAGCAGCAAGGAAGGCAGTCACCTGGTTCCGGCTCTTTCCTCCTGGGGGCAGTCGGTCATTGAGGTCATTGATGTAAGCTTGGATGCAAACTCTCCCCTCAGCTGGGCCCCAGGAAATGTCCACAGTACAGCAGCTGCCCAGGGTACATACCCCAGCACAGTGAGAACCTGGCTTTTGTTGATGTATATTTTAATCAGAACTCTCCCCGTAGTTTCCTGGCCTTGCAGTCACATCCTCTCCTAAACCTAAACCCCACCCAGGCACCCACCCCTTCCCCAGGCGGGGCGGGCAGTTGATGGTTCTTGCCCCGCCTGCCTGGCTCTGATGGTTCTTGCCCCGCCTGCCTGGCTCTTCCTGTAGCTCTGAGTTGGGCGGCCCCTTCCTCTGGGACCTGCCCCAGCACTGCACTTGCCTCTGTGCAGCAGCATAGGGGGTGCTCAGAGGGGCAGGGGTTCAGGTTGATGGGCAGGGGTTCTGGCAAGAAGACCCCTGGCAAGAACCATTTTGCACATACAAGGAGGCCAAGTCAGGCAGATGAACTGCCTCCTGGACACCCCCATTTTTGATGTCACACTCAGGATTGGAGCAGTCTTCTATTGCTCCCCCCAAAAGTAAGCAGCCCCATGTGAGTCTGACCTCTGAACTTTGGGCAAAGGGAGTCTTTAAGAAACTGCCAGTCAATAATGAGAATTTAAGAGTAGTGCTCTCAGGTCCTCTCCTGGTCTACCTCTCAAGCAATAGACCCCAAATGACTGAGTGGTTGCAAGGTGCTGTGGCATCTCACGAACCTTAGCTTCAGGCTGGGTGGGAAAGCAGAACCCCGTTTTCCAGGTAAGGAGGCAAACACAGAGGTCATAAGCTTCCTGGCTCTGATTGGGAAGAAACTGGCACTTCCTGTTGTCACCACTGACTCACCCCCAGACTGACCTGTGCCTTGGGGCCCAGCAACAGGTGACTGGGATTGTCCAGAGAATTGGGCAGGAGTCTTCTACAGGCCCTGGCCCTGCCCTCACCCACACATGGATAGGGGCTCCTCCTCAAGGACTCCTTGTGCCTGGCTGAGCCCAACAGGGAGCATCCTCAGTGCAGCAGCAGGCTTTCTTGCCTGTTTACCTGACCACATCCCGGCCCTGCTCAAACCCCTGTGGCCTGGCACTCAAGACCCACGGGTGATAGTGCACCATGGGCCCAGGACTGGAAACGTTTGAGTGAATTAAACACACACACACACACACACACACACACACACACACACACCTCCTTCCTCAATTCTTGCTGGAGCCAGAGCTATTACTTGAACGTGCACTTGATACACAGTAACTGGCTGACCCCTCATGGAGGTAGCTCTGTATTCCCCACAACGCAGGTCAGGAAACTGAGGCACAGGCAAAAGAAGAGAGATAAGCCCCCCCAGCCTGGAAGTCATGCTCTCAACCAGCCTCACCACCTCTGGAACACCTGTCAAGCTGTCAACTGCTCCCTACACCTAGTCTGGGTCACCCTCTCTCAGTGCTGGCTACCACAGTACTGATGGGACGCCCCTCCATTTCCCGTAGCAGGGCGAACATAAAAACCCAAATTGTTTTAGACACTGGCTTCTACAACCCTTTGGAGGCGCCCCGGGGCCTTGAAATGTAAATCCAAGCCCCTGCTCTACTCCCACACAGCAGTTCCTGAGAAGTGCCAAGTCCTGCTCTCAGACCCAGCCGTCCAGGTCAGTGCGTGCGCGCGGTGGGGCTGTGGTCCCCGGGCCTCAGTGACCATCTGGCCCCTGCGCCAGCGCCGACTCCCCATCCCGCCGGGCCCGGCTTGCTGCTCAGCCCCTGCAGTCGCTCATCTCAGACGCGCGGCCCCTCTGCTCCTCGCCTGTGCCGAGTCCCCAAACGTCGTTTTTGAAGGCAGGTGCGGGCATAAAAGACTGTGGCATGACAGGACTCCTCCCGCTCCCTCAGCCCTCGGTGCTCAGCTCTCCTGGATCTGGATCTTGTCCCCAAATCCCGCGCTCGGTCTTCCCCGGACTACATGGCCTCGTTACCCGCCCCCCCCACCCGCCCCTTTCCAGGTGCGATGAGCACGCCTGGCGGGGACGCGCACGGAGGGCGAGAGCGCGCCGATGGAGAGCTGGGCGCGCGGTGGCGGAAGCTGTGCCCCGCGCCCCGCGAATCCCGGCCCCAGCCAGCCTCCTGGTCAGCCCCGGGCGCCCTAGGACGCCTGGGGATTGAGATCTGAGCTTGGGAAGCGGAGGTGAGGTCCTGCGCGCCTCTGCTGTCGTGCACTGAAGGTCAAGAGGAAGCCAGTGACCACGTTGGGCAGAGCCGAAAGGGCAGCCACTACCCGCCCAAGGCTGGGAAGGAGCCGGGACGCGGCGCGATCCGGCCTCCGGGCTCCTCGGGAAGCCAGCCTGGCTCCAAGCCACTTCCTGCAGGAACGCGCCCGCCTGGCCCCAAGCCTCCTTCCGGGCGAGGAGTGTCGTGGGCTTCAACTCAGGCCTGGAGCGGCTCCAGGGACGGCGACCTCCACTCACCTTCGTGGGTCGGAGTCACGACTGCCACTCAGCTGCTGCTGGCGCTCGCGCGGGGGTGGGGCAGCTCACCTGGGCCAGGTGCGCAGTAGCGACAGCCCCAGCGGCTGTGGCAGGTGCAGCCCCGCCCCGCAGCCAGGGTGAGGGCGGACCCAAGTGTCCCGCTTTATGCCCCAGGCTGGCATTGGACAGTGTCCCGCGCTCAGCGTCCGAGAAACCTAGCCGGTTGGGCTGGGGGGCAGTGACCAAACCAGCCCAGCCAGCCAGCCAGCCAGCGAAGACACTGGGGGGAAGGGGGAGCCTAGATTTCGCAGTCCCAGGAGTGCCGTTGTCGTTCTGCCCCTCCAGCCAGGGCTCATCCCTTTCCTCCAGGAAGTCTGTCTTGAACCCCCCCACGCCACCCTCTAACTGGCCCTGATGTCTTCTCTTGTCACCCCAAAGCCTCAGGTGTAAGTGGTAGGATGTCCCTAAGCACCCCAATTGGAAGCCATGGCAAACCAGAGGAGGAGGACAGGTGGCCTGAGACTGCCACATTCCAGACCTTCCACACTGGGCCTCAGACATAGCCCTGGAGATCTTGTCAAACAAACAGGCTTGATTTTATTATACAACACAAAGCTCAGAAACTAAACAAATAGGTGTAATTTTATTATGGAACGTTCTACTGGCTGAGGGAAACAAGGCCCATCCAGGAAGAACCAGAAAGGTAGGCTTGGGGGGAAGCAAACCCACCCAGGATGTAGCAGGGCAGGATCTGGGGCCCAGATACCAAAGGGAACTTGGACCAATTTCCTGCATTAGGACTGCATGCCAAGTACCTCATCGCAGTTCTATGGGTGCTAGAATCACCCAGGGTTGAAGTCAGGGATGTGCCAAGCCTGAGCCCTAAGAAAATGGAGCAGGGTCCACAGGAACACCTGTGCTGTTCACTGATACCCCAAACATACACGGAAGTCACATGACCCCCTACATGTACAAGGACCTTCCAGGAACCCCATATACACATAGGTTTCTTGGATGTCCCATATACATCCATGTGTATGAAAGGGACTCCTGACGCCCCTATATTTGCCCACATATATGTAGACCTCCTTGGACCCCACTTGCACATAGGCCTCCTTACAATCCCACAACACAGGCACACACACAGCCATGGGCAGAGACAGCTGTGGAAGTGGAGGTTCCTGGTCTGGGCTCCTAGTGGCAGCACCTCTCCACCTGCTCCAGTCACCTATACATCTGTGCTCCTGGATCTGGAGCTGCAGGCAGGGTAGGATTGGTGGGATTATAGGGTTATAGGGCTGGCCCTCCCCCAGGCCGGGGCCCACCCCAGCCAAGCCAGCTTTTGTCTCCCTACCACATCTTCTTCCGCAGAGTCTGGTACTTCTCTTCCAGAACCTTGTTCTTCACTGACTGGGGGACATCAGGCACAAACCATGCAGCAATAAGCTTGATGCACAAGGCCACATGCTGGGGGTGAGGCAGGGGCCAAAGATGACCAGCAAGGTTAGGGTCTTTGGGGGTTGAGGACCAGAGAGAAGAGCTGGAAAGAGTTGCTTTTAGCTCCACCCATACCTCCCCCAATTCTGTCTACCTCAAAGAGAATAAGGAAGGCCAGGCGGATAGCCAGGAGGAACCAGAACTGCTCAGAGAAGTTGTAGTCATGGGAGTTGCGGTAGTCTCGGTACCTGGGGTAGGAAGGAACCTGAGGTCAGGGGTCAGGAGTTCAGAGGGCATTCATGGGGTGTGAGAGGTTCCAAACCTGCACTCAGTCACGTTTTCCCAGCCCTCTATCTTGATGGGGTCCTGGAAGTCCTTAATGTAGAAGACAGACAGGCTGTGGTTGACGTAGCCTGTGAGGCAGCTGGGGAGAGAAGAGTGTGTGCCTAGTGAAGCCCCCTCCGGCCCTGAGGCACTTCCCAGGAGCCCACCTGCACCTGGAGAGCAATTGGATAGAGTGCACCACAGATGGCATCCTCCATTTCCCCAAGTGGGAGAGGACCTGTTAGCCAAGCACTTGACTACCCCTGGGGACCTGGCAGAGGCTAAGAGGCCTCAGGGGTGCTACCAGCTATGCAGCATCCCTGGGTTTACCCAGGAGACCCAGTCTGCAGGTGCAGTGACCCTCCCTCAAAGCCAAAGGAGTTGGACATGGCTCTGCTCTGCCCTCCCCTCTCATGCTGGAGGCAGGACAGAGGGTCTAACCATTCAGGCACTGCCTGCTCAGAACAGCTGGGTCTGGACCTCCCTCCCCAGTAGTGGTCTAGTCAGTCCCTGCAGGCTCCAACTCAGGGTCTGTATTTCTGTGCAGGTAGGGAAGGCCCCAGCTTCTCTGCAGTTCCCAGGTGGCATTGGCAGCATCCAGCCATTCTTGAGAGAGGGTCTGTGCTCCCTGGGGCCTGGCCATGGTAGGGCCAGTTTCTCAGGGGGACTCTGGATAGTTTGAGGCCTTACTTGACTGTGGAGTGGGTTCCCTGTCGGCACGGGCCATAGCGGTACTTGTACACCACTCGGGGGATAAACTCAGAGGTGAAAGCGATAATCATCCCGTTAGCAATGACTGCTAGCACGCCAATAGTCTCCAGCACCTGCAGCCAGGTCCCTGGGCCAGAGAAATGGGTTGTGGTAGTCTGCTTCCCCAAGCCCCAGTCACTGGTAGAGCACCCCGAAGGCTAGGAGCCTGGCTGGCCAAGGGGCCTTGTCACACCTCTCCCTGTGGCACCCCACTGTAGCCACGGAGGCTAAGTTCTTCATTCAGAAATTCCAAGCCAAGGCAGGCACAATGTGACCTTGGCTTTCCTGCAGTCACTTCACCCTGACAGGAACAGGGAGGAACTCAGGTGTCCCCCTCCCCCATCTTTCTCCTGAATTTTTCAGCAAGCTATTCTATTCCCTGGCTCCCACCCAAGGCAAGACCCCTAAACCTGGGCCCAAGACTAGGGTCCTCCCTACTCCCTCTTTCCCCATATCCAGCGCCTCATCCACTCTGCCCTGTAATACCTGTCCATCTCAGGATGGCACTCAGTTCCTGTCCCCAGCCACAGAACTGTCCCTCTCATCCTTCAGAGTCCAGCTCTTTCCCCTGGGCCTCTTATAGGCTACAAGCCCTTCAGAAAGATGCTGGAGGCTCAAAGAAGGGACCTGCAAGGTGCACCCCAATCCTGCCTGGTGTCTGAGCTCACCACATTTAAGCTTCATCCTTGGCAGATCCCAGAGAAGGGCTGGGTTAGGGGTCTTGGGCTGCTTGAGACTGACATTAGTAAGACACTAGTGTGGGTGGTGAAGAACCCAGGGTTGGAAGCCACCCCTTCCAGCATCCTGGCCACCCTCCTCCACTGCCTGACTGGTAGGGCCCCTGACCGATGTCGTTGGCTTTTCTTGGCACCAGGCGCCGCTGCAGCTGGACCATCTTGATGGCATCCAGTCGGATCTCCACGAGGTTGCTGAAGAGTGCAAGCAGCGGTGCCAGTGGGAAGGCGGCCACAAAGATGGTGGTGAAGCCATACTGAATCACTGCAGGGCAGGTGTGTCACTGTCACCATGGGTCTGGGGAGCTGCCCACCCTGTCTCTCCCAGCCCGCTGTCCCCACACACTCATCTCCATGAACTCATCAAACAGGCTGAAGGTGGTGACAGGGTTCAGGAAGTAGTTACGCTGCCACTCCCGGAGCTCTGGTTCAAGGGCCACACAGCTGTGTATCATGGCCGGCATGGAGCGCCATTTATGGGCCAACCACCTGCAGGTGCAGAGAGTGACTGGGGACAGCCACGGAGGGAGGGGGGAGGAGAAAGGGGGGCCCAAGGGGTGCTGGGGACAGGGACAGGGCCAGGGCAGGGCAGGAGGTGGTTCTCACGGCCACAGGTACTCCATGCAGTTACTCAGTGTTTGCTTCAGACCCATGATGATGGCCATCTGCACGAACAGGTCCATCATGCAGCCACTGAGATGGCACTGTGGGGGCCAGGGAGGGGGTCAGGGGTGGAGCTTGGAGGAGGACTCAGGCACAGGGTAGTAAAGCCTCAAGAGAGACTGACCTCCTCCAGTTTCCACAGGCCGGCCAGGCGTGTGGACTTCCCAGGGTGACCGTTGATCCTAGAGAGGAAAAAAAGTGAGGCCTGGGAGGAAGTGGGGCAGCACCCTGCCTCTGACAGGGTGGGGCTGCAGTGAACCCTGGAGAAATGGAATGGCAAGGAGGGGGCAGCCAATTCCCATGCTGAGGCACCCCCTCCAGATGCAGGCCGGCCCAAGCTCAGCCTCACGCCAGCATTCACGGGTTCAGACACACCTTCCAGACAGGGTCTGCTGGGAAACCCCACATAACATTATTCTGTGTTTAAAATAATCCGCTTTCCATAACATGATTGTGTGTGTGTGTGTGTGTGGTGTGTGAGTGTGTGTATAAACTCTCTTGGCTGGGAGCATGGCTTAAATGGTGGAATGCCTGCCTAGCAAGCACAAGGCTCTAAGTTCAAATCCCAGTACTGCCAAAAAAATAGAAGTACAGAAAGATGAAGTGAAGGAACTTTCTCCAGGAACGATCTCTGAGAGCAGGTTGAGGGACTCCAGGTGTCTTTGAATACACTGAGAGGCTGTGGGGGTCTGGAGCAGTTTGGAGCCTATTAAGAATGTGGATTGTACCTTACAAAATTTAAGCAAACACAAAACAGAACATTTTCTTTAGAGAAGACAAAAAGGTGTGTATTAGCTGAACCAAAAATAAAAAGGCTCATTTCAAATTTGGGAAGGTGAGGTAACAGGATGCTCATGGAGGGTTTTTTGTTTTGTTTTGTTATTTTGTCCTTTCTTAGCAGTACTGGGGCTTGAACTCAGGGCCTACTGCTTACTAGGCAGATACTCTATCATTTGAGCCACAGCCCAGTCCTTTTTCTGCTTTAGTTACTTTTCAGATAAGATAACTTGTGCTTTTGACCAGGGCTGGCCTCAGACTGTGTTCTTCCTACCTACACCTCCCACATAGCTATACAAGTGCAAGCTTCACTACCATGTCCGGCTTTTTGGTTGAGATGGGGGGTCTCACTAACTTTTGCCCAGGCTGGCCTTGAACCATGATCCTCCCAGTCAGTGCCTCCTGAGTAGCTGAGATTACAGGTATCAGTCACTATGCCTATAAGCTCATGCAACCTCTTTATGAAACTCTGCATCTCACAAAAGATGAGTGGAATGAAGCAGAAGACATCCCTGTGTTTCTGTGTAAAAAAAAAAGCAGGTCTGATGACTGACAGGGCCAAACCACTTTCACCAGCAGATGTCTGTGCAAATAAATGCATACAGACCAGGAAGACTCACCAGCCTAAGGCAGAGTCACCCCTGGGGATTGGGGTCGTGGAGTGGGGTAACTCTATATTGGGAATCTATGTGTTCTAGGCATGAATTATTTTTAAAATTGAAAGAACAGGTCTGGTCACTTTGAAAGGCAGGAGAGAGACCCGCAGGGTTGAGATGGAGGGAGTGGGGCAGGCAGCGCACCTGCCCAGGATGAATGCGATGTAGATGAGAGAAGAGAAGTGGGTGAAGAACTGCAGGGTGAAAAACTTGACAGTGAACTTGCTCTCTCGCTCCGAGAAGGTCCTGGGCTTCTCTGGAACAAGACACAGCTGCCCCTTACCTGGCCTGCCACTTTCCAGACCACTGGGGACTCCTGTGACCCTCACCTCTCAAGTAGGAGAGGCACTGGCACAGCAGGAAGCCCCCCCATGTCTGATCACAGCTCCCAACCTGAACCCCACCCCCCAAGACTCCAAAGAGCAGTGGAACCTTCCTCTCACCAAAGTCACAAAGTTTCAGGGCCACACACTTGTTGACCTGCAGGAAGAGAGCCCCGAGTGGGACCTGAGCACCTGGGGCCTGACCCCCTTCCTCCCCATCCTCCCCCAACACCCTCTGGTGCCCAGCCCCCTACCTTGGTCATGACCACGATGATCACGTAGTGTACCAGGGCTCCAGTCACCACCACGGCTGTGGTCACCTGCTGCAGGAAGTTGCTGAGGAGGGCGGCTGCCAGCACACGGTAGACCACCAGCACGTGGGCCATGCCAATCATGAGGCAGATCTGTGGGTGGGCAGCAGTGAGTGGGGCACAGAGGGGCTGCCCAGACAGGTCTCCAGCCTCACCATGGACTCCCCGGTAGTACCATGAACAGAGAGAGGATCAGGATGACCGTGCTACGCAGGTAGGAGTGCTGGTACATCTGGAGCTCGTAGTCAGGTGAGTTAATGAGCTCCAGGGCCATCTCTTCCTGGGGAGGGCACCAGACATACCTCAGACGTGGGGACACAAATGTCAAACAAACACACACTCAGACAGGGGACGCAAGTCCAGGGCACTGGGTGTAGACAGCCCTCGCTGCTGGCCCTGCCTCACCTGGTCCTCATCCCATCCATATAGGTCCCAGTGCAGGACCACGTGAGCTCTGCCGCTTCCAGATCTCCAGGAATACCGTGGCTGCAGCAAAGAGAGAAACGCATCGTGGCACACCCTGGAGTGAGACACAAGACTGAGCCTTGGATCTCAAGCTGGCTGTCTCCTGGGGCCCTCTAGGACACCCAGCAGTGACTCACTCACCCCACAGAGCCATGAAGATGGCAAACACCACAGTGCCCTCGTTGTCAAAGAAGTGGGTGAGCTGGGGAGAGGCAGGTGGTCTTCATGCTGGGCCTCTCACCCACGGCCTCCAGTTGGGAAGGGAGAGCCCCACTCCCTGCCCCTAGGTACAAAGACCTAGGTGCCAGCCCTTGCGCAGGCCCTGGGTAAACCCCACGGGCAGCAAACCTTCGCAAAAGTGCAGGTCTCTGACAGCAGCTGGTAGCCACCACCGTGGTCGCCGACGGGGCACATAACAATGTCATTGGCCTCGCAGATCTCTTTGCTGGGGGTGCAGAAACAGGGCTGGCAATGGTCCTTCCCAGATGCAGGGTTCAACAGGGCCCCCAGACCCCAGGCCCCAGCCCACCTGATCTGACTGGCATCAAACAGGGCAAACCCACTGAAAAAGACGATGAGGCCCACCAGGGCAGCAGGCGCCAGCATGTAGGTGTACCAGCCAAGCCAGGCAAAATAAAGTGCCACCTTCTCACCAAAGTAGTTCCTAAGGAGCAAGCTTCCCTTGTCAGGGCCACCCTCCGCCAGGGTGGTCCCAGGGCCTGGGGGGTGTGGCCACACGTAAAGAGGGAGGAGGGAGTGCATGCCAGCATCAGGGCGTCTGAGTGGGTTTGTTGGGCCTCACGTGTGTTTGTGGACCACAGGTGATCTCTTTGGGACAGTATTACCTGATTTCGTCAATCGGCTGCTCACAGAACATGTTCCTCCACTGGGCCCACTTTCTCTTCAGGTCTTTCTCCCCCTGGACCCAGGTGACAGACAGTGAGAGCGTCTTTCCTCAGAGTCCTGCCCACAGGCCCTCTCCAAGCTGGCCCACCTCTCACCTTGTGCAGGGGGAACTTAGCCTCAAAGACCCCATCCTTCACCAAATCCTCGAAGGTTTCTGAGGGTCACAGGCAGCCTGAGTCAGAGGGAGGTGGAAGGCAAGGAAGCCCCGCCTGCACAAACCCTCCCATCCACCCTCCTGTCATCCTCACCACCAGCTGCCGTCTTGCTGTTCAGGACAAAGCTCACGATTCGGATCCTGAAACCCAAGGGTTGCATCAGGATAGCCCCACAGGAGCTTCTAACAACCCAGGCCCTCCCTGTCCTGGCAGAACCCTCAGCCTGCCAGCATTAACCAGAGCCCAGAATGCACAAATCAGCTGGGATCCCAGTGACCTCCTGAGAGCCCTACCTGGGTTAGGCCTGCCCCCGCCTCCCTGCTAGGTGCTCCCTCTCCCCACACCCATCCCCTCTCTGCGGTGCCTGAATGAAAGCCCCACCTCCAATCACACTCCTGCCTGTAAGCTCCACCCATCCCAGCACCTGCTAAGCAGAAACCCTCTTTATATCCCTATGAACCATTTTGCCTATGTAGAAACTGAGACTTAGAGAGGTTGAGTAACTTGCCTGTGGCCACACAACCAGGCATCTGACTACAGAGTGATCCTCAGGCACATCCTCCCCATGAGTGTCTGAGACACAGCCCCTCCCAAAAACGCACCCCCCCCCCGAGCCTGTCCTTCTCACCCCCCACCAAGGTGTGTCTACTCTTCTAACTTCCACTTTGCTCTTGTGCCCCAAGACCAGCTAGCTCTGTGTTCACAGGACACCCCTCCACTGCAGTAACCAATTCCAAGAGCAACCTTTGCCAGCTCCGACAGGCCTGGTTGGGACTGTGCAGGTGATAAGGAAGGATGAGGAGGAGGTGTGTGGCTGTGCTTAGAAAAGCAGATGCCTAGGCATTGGTCGCTGCTCTCTGCCAGGCTTCTGGGTCTACATGCTGGGAAGCCTATACCAGATGTGCAGGGAAAGGCCCCAGAGCTGGAGAGGAGTTGCCTCTCCAAATCCTGTCCCTGCTTTAGAGCTAGCTTTGATTCTACATCCCTAGAAATACAGTCTGAAGTGACCTTCAAAATGCCCCAAGAGGTAAGAACTGTCATCACCCCTCACCACAACATGGAAACTGAGGCTCAGAGACCTGCTCACACAGGATGGGATCTGATTCCTGTGGCAGCCACCCTGTGACCATGTGGAGATGGGCTATCCTGCCTCAGGTGGTCTCTGGCTCTGCCTGGACAAGGCTCGGGGTGGACAAGGGTCTTCTCAGCCCCAGCTCTGGGCACAGCCTCTCACCTTGTGGTGGCTGGGACAGGCTCCGACCCAGTCGGCTGGACTCTAGGGTCAGGATGTTCAGGATCCACAAGGAGAGTGCGGTACAAGTCAAAGATCCTGTTGTCCGCTCGGATCCCAAAGAATACCCGTTTCTGGTCTTCTACCACCTGGGGGAGTCACATGGGACCTTCCATTCCACCTTGGAGCCCTCCCCCTTCATCCACTGGCCTGTCTCCTGCTCCTGGGACACACACTAGGGCCCATCCCTGCATCTCAGTCTGAGACCTGATGTCCCCGTCCCCTGCCAGGAACAGCCCACCTTGAAGTGGAAGCCCTTGCGCTCAAGGTGCCCCAGGAAGTCCCGCTGCCGCTGTGCCTGTTTCAGGTGTAGCTGGGTCTGGTGATCAGCCACCAGGACATAGTCCCACTGCTCAGAGGCCTCAGCCTAGAGGAAGGAGATGGGGGCCAGGATCAGGCTCAGGACACAAGAAGGCGGTGCAGGGCTGGGATGAGGCACAGGAGGAGTGTAGTGGGGAATGGGCAGAGGGACCAAGTCCCGGAGCTCAGAGTAGACCCACCTCACCAGCGCCAATCTCCATTAGTGGGAAACACTCTTCTGCCTTTCCCGCCAGGACCTGGAGGCTCTCTTCACCCTGAAGGCAGAGAGAGGGATGGGGATCTGCCCGTCACCCTTCCGGAAGTCTCTGTGCAGGCACTCTGGTACCAAGGGAGTAAGACCCCTCACTCCCATACAGAAGCTGGGAACAAGCCAGTCAGGAACAAGTGGCAAGCAGGTAATTACAGGTGGAGGTGAGACCAAGAATGGCAGTGAGCTAAGAATGGGCCAGAAAGTGAGGGGCACAACACAAAATCTGTGTGGAAACATCCAGAAGGAACACCAGCACGGCTGGGAGGTCGCACAAGCAGCCCCACTTCTAAAGTGGCAGAAAACGCAAACGGGGAACTTGCAGCAGGCAGCTCCAGTGAGCAGTTGGTGGGCAAAGAAATGGCAACCTCAGGACAGGCAGAAGACCAGGTCAGGAAGCCAGGAGGTTAAGATCTGACAGCACCCAATGCCAGGGCAGCCAGGGACACGGTTGCTGGGGTGCATGCACCCGTGCATAAACAGGAACACTGAGCACTGCTCCTAGACACTTGCTGGCCTGTCTGTCCTCGAAGCCACTGACAAGGGCGCTCATAGCAGCACTCAAACGGGCACATGCCAACCACAGTGCTGTGGGCAGAGTCCCAAGAAAGAAGCAAGTTTCCAATCACAGATAGTCCACTGCCTCCCTCCAGGGGATGGACCTAATTCTCCCGTCACGTGGGCTGGACTCCGATTAAGATAATTGTAGGGGAACGCAGAGAAACTAAAGCAGATACCTTAAAGCAACTGAGGCCAATAGGAAAAGGGGAACAGGAACTAGAGAAAAGGTGAGATCAAAAAGAATTAACCTAGAAGGTAACACACGCACAGGAAATCAATGTGAGTCAATGCCCTGTATAGCTATCCTTATCTCAACCAGCAAAACCCCTTGTTCCTTCCTATTATTGCTTATACTCTCTCTACAACAAAATTAGAGATAAGGGCAAAATAGTTTCTGCTGGGTATTGAGGGGGTGGGGGGGAGAGGGAGGGGGTGGAGTGGGTGGTAAGGGAGGGGTGGGGGCAGGGGGGAGAAATGAACCAAGCCTTGTATGCACATATGAATAATAAAAGAAAAATGAAAAAAAAATAAAATAAAATGGTTAAAAAAAAAAAGATAATTGTAGGGGGCTGGAGGCATGACTTGAGTGATAGAGCACCTGCCTAGCAAGTATATGGCCATGAGTTCAAACCATAGTACCATAAAGAAGGAGGAGGAGGAGGAGGAAGAAGAGGAGAGGAGAGTGTGAGAGCAAAGTGTGGGATGAGAAACAAAGGCACTGTAACAAAGGGACAGCAGCCAAGGTGCTCCTCCTAGGCATCACTGGATGTTAGAAACACCCAGTGGGATGTGGAAGATAGGATACAGTCCTCTCCCTGAAACTTATTGTCTTTCCCCTTAAGACGACCTCAGACAAGCCCAGAGGGACACAGACAGGATGTCTAGGCTTAGAAGTCAGGCCACCAGGGCAAGAGACCAGAGGGACCCTACAGGTAGGGTTAAAGAAATGGTGACTAAATTCCACAGGGATCCTGGATGAACTGAATGAGAAAAGGAAGTGCCAGTGTGATGGGGGTCTGGGAATGCCCACATGGCCCCCAGAACTCTGCACATCACTGAGACCATCTCAGATAACAAGCCTCATAATACACTCAAGTGGCATAATAAACTGACTTCATAATAAGCTGAAAAGCAACTAACAGCCCGGCGCCAGTGGCTCACACCTGTAATCCTAGCTATTCAGGAGGAGGCAGGGATCAGTAGGATCAAGGTTTAAAGCCAGCCCAAGCAAATAGTTCTCCAGACCCTATCTCAAAAAAAAAAAAAAAAAAAATCACAAAAAGGGCCCATCACAAGGTATAGGCCCTAAGTTCAAACCCCAGTATTGCAAAAAAAAAAAAAAAAAAAAAAAAAGTAAAAAGTAGAGCTTGTTTTCTTCAGGGTCTCTCTGTAGCCCAGGCAGGTCTTGAACCCATGATCCTCTTGCCTCTACCTCCTGAGTACTGGTACAGGCATGCACACCATATCTGGCTAAAGCTGGGCTCTTTCAGAAATACTTAAAATACTTATTAATGGGATAAAACTGCACCATGAAGAAGGCAGCTGTGTCAGAGTCAGGGCAGTGGGTGCTGTGGTCTCTGTCTCAGTGGGTGCTGGGTGCTGAGTTCTCAGGGCCTCACTGACTCAACAAACAAGAAGGTGCCCAAGGGCCGAAGATAAGTGACAGCAGGGGCTTCTTTCCTGGGGAAGAGGGGCCACCAGGCAGGTCAGGCAGGTTGAACTTTCTTTCTAGTAGGGGGATGGCCGAGGGAAGGGATCAGCTGTGACTCAGGAGACAGCAAATACCAAGGGCTTTATGAGGTGCACAATGGTCCCCAGCTCCACATTGCACGGGTGAGGATCCTAGCTTGTGTCCCCGCTGGCTTTTGGGACAGGCACAAGGACCCTACAGCAATGAGTGTCTGAGTGGCCCGAGGCGCTCTGGGGCTGCGTCCTTCTCAGCACCTGCCTCTCCTCCTGCACCACAGCATCTGTAGCCAAAGTGAAATTATTTCCCTGCTGGCCAGCAGGCAGGGGTGCTGCTTACTCATGGCCTGCCTGCCAGTTGCACCCCCCTTGCTGGCGCCAGCCCCTCTCCCGCAGGCAACAGACCGACTGCAGTCACCCCCTGCCAGTCCTTTCTCCTGCTGTGCCCTCCATTGCAGTCCCTCCCTTCCCAGATGCATCCTTGCCGCCTCCTCCAGGGAGTCTCACTGGACTGCTCCAGCTGGTTGGCCTTGAAGCTGCCAAGAAAATATAGGCCACCCAGTCACACTTGAATTTCAGGAAAACAACAGGGGCTTTCTGTATAAGTATATCCCAATGAGTTCCTGGGACATACTCAGACTAGAAAAAAATTGCTTATCTGAAATACAGCTTAACCAGGTCTTTTTTATTTTGTTATGCTGAGTGTGCAACCCTACTCCAGGGTTACACATACCACACATGCAACTGGGAGCTGCTAGCTCCAGGACAGGGCTGGGTCTGCCCTGCTCTGTCCCTTTGTCTCAATCACAGAAGCCAGGAAACACATTGGATCCAGGCACAGAGGGGCGGTCTGAGGCCCAGTGCCAGGCTCATGCCAACTTCATCTCTGGCCCCATAGTTCACACTGCACCTGTCTGGGTATTCTTAGTGCTTCCCCACCAACACCATCTGCCAGGCTCCCAGAGGGGCAGTACTGTTTGCCCCAGCCCTCCCTCCCGGTCACAACACCCTCACATTTCTGACCACTCCCAACCTCCCAATGACAGCCCATGGATATCTGCACCCAGGTGTGGCATGTGGTAAGTGAAACTTCTCATTCCTGGGTCAGGAGAGAAACCTGCATTCAGATTGCCCTGTAGGAAGGGGTGGGGTACCTGTGCCTTGTTTCAGGGAAGAGGGTGAAGTCTCAACCAATAGGTTGGGTGGTCTGGGGACCCTGGTGTCACAGTGTCCCCAGCACTTAGCCCCATGGCCTGCCCACAACCAGGGGTCAGCAGGTGTCACATAGGATGAATTCATGGGTGAAATGTGACTTTGGGCTGGGCAGAGGAGCCCTTGCCATCCCTCCTCATTCTGGGTTCCCAATATCAGCCTGGTCCCAAAGCTTCAGAATATGTAGAACAACTGGGGCAGGACCAGAGATCCCAGACTGGAGAGGACTTTGTTTTTTTTTTTTGGCAGCACTGGGGCTTGAACTCAGGGCATACACCTTAAGCCACTTCACCAGCCCTTTTTTGTGAAGGGTCTCAAGAACTGTTTTCCTGGGCTGGCTTTGAACCACAATGCTCCTGATCTCTGCCTCCTGAGTAGCTGGGATTATAGGATCACCTGGCTTAAGTAGACTTTTGGGATGCAAACCAAGGGGGCCCTGGGAAGAGGGGCCCATCATGAGCACATCCTGGAAGACCAGTGAGAGGCTGTCGTTAGCTCCAGAAATGAGGCATAGAAAGCCTCTTCCTCACCAAAGACATGCACAGCTTTGGGAGAGTTGCCCAGAGCCCCTTAGGAATAGCTGAACCACTTCCCCTAGGGCCGAGGTGTGACCTGGACCAGTGGAAGGCAGCCATGGAGGGTGTCTGCAGTACCTAATGGGGGGGAGGGGTCACTGGACAGGAAGACCCCAAGGCAAAGCTATGCATACAATTGGATACTGCCCAAGCCCCTGGCTGCCTCCAGCTGTTGCTGTGAAAACGACAGTGACCACTCCATCAGCCAAATTAAAAATCCTGCAACTAGCCCAGGTCCAACCACACTCCAACTCACAGCTACATAGGCCACAGCTCTGAGGCTCTGCAGCCTATACACCCTGGCCTCCAGCCCTACCCCAAGGCCACTGCCCCCAGCCTACAGAATCAGGCTGTCCACTTTGTCCAGCTCTCCTCTAGGGCTGCTGTTTACAGGCCAATGCCCCTGGTCCCTGGCTGACACTCACAGTCTTCCCAGTGCTGTCTTGCGGTCTTCAGGGACGGAGACCAGGCTCACCTGCAGCAAGCAGCCTGCTCAGTGCACCTAAAGCCCTGTGGCCCCATCCACCAGGCTCCACCCAGGAAGTGTGGTTCCCCCAAACACCAGTTTCCAGGGCAGGGACAGAGGCTGTTCCCTCACAGCAAGAGCCCTAGTGGGTCAGTCCCAACCTTGCCATGTGAAGATCCCAAGCAGGGTTCAGGCTCTGGGCAGGTAGCTGCCCTAGGCTCTGATGTGGCCAAATGTCTCTGAGCCTCAGTTTTCTCGTTTATAGAATGGGGTGACATCACCCCCGCCTCACAGAATCACCGTAAGGATGTGCACAGGTAGGAAGAGGGTGGACAAAGTCACACACCGTGCCACCAGGGTTCCTGTCATCTTCTGTACTCACCTCCCAACCTCACAGGCGACTCATGTAATGGTCTGGGTCCCTGAGAGCTTGGCTGGGGCCCCTGGACCCCTTCGTGGACATAGGCACATCCAAGTGGGTGAGCACAGATCCACATGAGGAAGCTT